AAGGCAGCGGTGTTTGGCGGGAAATGCAAATGCATTACCATTTCTACGGAACAAGTCGCCACATGTTCCAACCCCCAACCTGGAGGGCCAGGAGACTGTGTTCGTCAGACCTCTAACCATTGACCAGCCTGGTATGAGAGACTGTGAGTGTCGCGGGACACTCTCCAGTACAGCTCAATGGATCGCTGAGGTGCAAAAACCGTCACACCACGGTAAGGTCCAGTCTCTTCGTGACGGGTCTGCTGACAATTGAACAACGTGCTAGGATGTCTGCTGACATCCTAGCACGTTGTTCAATCGAACGCACAGTTGAAGAGTAGGAGCCAATGTACAGCCCTGCCTAACTCCAGACGACGTGTCGAAGATTTACAGTTCTTCGCCACACTGGCATGTGCTCTCGTGGCCGTGCAGTAAGCGTAATGGGAATATCGTGCGACTTCCCTATTTCCCCTAGTGCCGGGTCCACAGAGTCGGACGCAGAATTCAATAAAGTAGCTAGGAGCTGTCTTTTTGTTTGTATCGTGGTTCTAGAACACGGTGTAGAACGAAGGTTTGGCCAATATTTCCTTTTCCTAGACGAACATCTGTCTAGTTTCGACTGTTACTTGAGTAAACCGTGGCGAGTCAACTCATAAGAAGGTTGACAAATATCGTAGGAGCTACGTCCAACAAGGTGTCATCAGCAGATTTGTCACCTGTGAAAAAATGTTCCAGCCGTATGGAGACAATGCGCTGTCTCAGCCTAATCGAAATTGCTCATGGAGCGGCATGAGCAGGGCAGGGGTACCAGCGGCTTTTCGATTTCCAGTTAGTGGATGATTTAAGCTAGTTTTTCTTCCATTAGAGGTCTACAGTTAGCGTCGTACGACGAAGTGAGGAACTCATTGGTGGGTGGGGGCGCATGCTGGTTCGTACAATTGAGTTGTTTAAAACATTCCACCCATCGAGCTGGCCTCGGGAATGGTTTGGCCAAATGAAGTAGGACTCGGTACACAGTCATATTCCGGGAGGTTGTGGTAAATGGCGAAATAGTGTCGCATAGTCGCCGACATTTGACAAAGGTTCCTTGTTGGTTATCATTGTGGTATTTGTTTGCTGACTAGGTTGCTTGGTGCCAGCGTGTGCAGTCGTTTTGCGCGTTTGCTACTTTACCACCATCAGTCTGGCTTGACAACCGTGTTGTACACTGATCTGCAGTCCTTCTCTCTACCTGACTTTGTTCCTAGTTGGCAGCATCATGAGCCTCACATGCTACACACACGTGTTGACATTGGCAGGCACTACACAACATGCGTCGAATTTCTCGCGTATGACGTCAAACAAAGATTATTGCTTGTCCGAACAATTTAGAGGTGTGATGTTTTCTTACAGGAAGAGTTATCAGGGGCACCTAAGTTCTGCTCGTGAACGTAGCCCGATTCTGTTTCTCTCAGGTAGCACGTGAGGTCCATCTAGATCCCACTAGGATGTAGCCACTGGGGAGCTACGTGGCCATCGTTCGAGTGCCGAGTTAACAGGTATTTCTAGGGTCTTGAAAGCGCGTGTTGATTACTCAGCGAAGTTAACAGACCCGTCAGCATTTTCACCACGAATTCTGAGACTGTGCTGTTTGATACTATGATGCGCTAAGGTGTCACATGATCCAGTGCGAGCATCCCATCATTATCGAATATAGGCGCACTAATCCTCAGTATTTGGCCAATTGTTTCCTGGAACGTGTAAAACCACCAGTCGTTCTTATGTCGTTCGGTATCTAGCGCCGGTGCGCATACGGGTACGACCATGAGCTCCCGAATTTGGCTACACAGTTCTTGAGCTAATCGGTTCAAATGACTGGTGCATTTTGAATCGGATGGTTGAATACAGTGCTCACACCATATTGACCAGAGCTGTCTTGTGGACCACTGTTCCGCGAACTTGAATTCGACGGGGACTGTGTTCAAGTTTCTGGGCTTCGGATAAACTTTGTCACAAATGGAACGAGATGGCTCAGTGGTTAGAGATCGAATTTACTAACCGAAACGTCCGTGGTTCGAACTCGACCCCCGCGTCTCAACTTCTGTTTAGGCAACCTAGCAGTATCCCAGGCTTCGTGCTTCCTTCGGGTGGCATGGCAGCTATACACTGAAGGGTTATTACGGCTGAACGGTTATTAGTTTTATTAGTCATGAAGGGTACATGTAATAGTTGCTTGGCACCCGACCTTCAAGAAGACTTAGTCGTCAACATCCGATGTGAACGAGTTGCCTGATGTTGTTTCCAAGCCTCTGAAACAGTCTGAGGTCCGTGGCCTATCGGAGACGCTGTGACGTTAGAAGAATATTTGATGGGATTTTTAATGAAGTTTCTTGAATATTTGTTGTGGTTGTGGTTCCCTGCGTCACCGGAACTTTTATGTGTGTGTGTGTATGTGTGGTGGGTTCACCTCTAGTGTTACCATAACCAATTCGAAGGTAACGGTTTGAAAAATGCTGTCTGGCGGGGTCGTTCTTTTGGTCGTTTAACCAGAGTTGATCTCATCCGTACAGTGTGTTTGGGCTCCTTCCACTTGCTAGGGTTTAGCCGACTCTTCTAGACTGATAATCCATGAACCGTCAACTCTGTTATATTGTGTGACTCGCGCTTTTGCCCTTACACTTTGGTGAATGCACCCAAGTGTCGATAAGGCAACGTACCGGACTTCCTAACCGAGGGCTTCGTTGTTGCAGACCGTTTGAATTTACTACTTTCATCGTTTTCCCGGAAACCCATCCCCTCCCAAGCTGTGGCGTTAGGGGAGCATCCTAGACACCTGTTCCCTACAGGTGAAATGAATCGATAGTACTCTCCAGCTTCGGAAAACTACCCACGATGAATGTGTTAGTTATAGGTCTTAGCCTGGTTCCCACTGTGATAAAGCCTTTATCGGATTGCAAACACTTTACCGCTGAATGACTACTTCGATCAAATCGTCACAGGACAGCGTCGTATATACCGGTTAACCTCCACTGTTGCGTTACTTTGCCACATGGTTGCGTTCGACTCTGTTCGGTTCCTGTAAACTCAGTTGCTCAACTTAGGAACACACACACTCCAGGAGAGCCAGTTCTGATGTCGACCCACTCGTAGCTGGGCGAATTAAAGGTAACCTGAAACTTCGGCCCTCTATCATTTGACCCGATACGGTTGGGAAATAGTCGGAAAAAAGCACACCATAGGTCCACTGAGGATAGGATACCTTTCACTTTTTACTATCAGACATTGTGGTTTATGCCACTCTATCCACCCATAGATTTTGTACCATGGTCGCCGTTGTCGCCAGTTTATTCCTGCTAAGACAGGCCGCTGCAGCCCCAGGAGCTCTACTAAAATTTCCACTATCTGCTCTTCCATCTTTCCGCGCCTACACCTTGCTTCTTAGGGCGAGATGGCTCAGTGGTTGGAGCGCAAATTTACTGACCGGAAGGTTCGTGGTTCGAACCCACCTCTGCATCTTGACTTCTCCTGTCTGGGCTTGGGTAGTCTGGCAGTTTTCCAGCCCTCATACTTCCTTCGGGTGGTATGGAAGCTAGGCACCGAAAGGGTGTAACGGTTGAACAGTTTTTTTGGAATTTTTGCTTTTTGATGTTCAGCATTCCCAATACACTTATCTATCCATTTTTCAGCTGATGACAAGACAGACAAAAATAATCGGATTCTTTAGACAAGTAAGTTATTGGATTATCTAGTTTTTCAGGCTACTGTTTTGCTGTTATCTAACTAATGGAACAAAACTGCTGGCAGTTTTTTCTTGTTTTTGAATTAACTAAACCGTGTGCTCAGTGGTCTTTTCGCAGCTGAAGCACACAGTACCACGTAGTAATGCCATGTAGTATCACGAAGTCATACCCTAGAGATTTTACCTACCACTTTTGAAATGCAGTCCGTTATTTTGTTACTGTCCGTTGGATTTGTCATGTCCTGAACACTGGCTCTGAAGTCTGCCTGTGGCATTGTAGCTATCCGATCGTTTCATTATCCTCAGTACAGAAGAGGACGACATAACAACGGCGGGCAAAGTTCATTTGCTGGAGCACCGTAGATTCGTGTTCGGTGCTTCTGATATGACTATTTGTAGATGATGTGCTGAAGGTGACACCTAGAACACTATTAGGTAACTTCAACTGCTACGAAAAAAATTCGTTGTTCAAAACTGGTAAAGCTGCTTAAGTGCAATCAGGACATGATTATTCGCGTCTAGAGGTTCTCTATAATCCAAGAGTTCAGATCTCTGCCAACTAGAGTCCTGTCAGCCTGAAGTATGCATACGGGATCGATTTCACTCTTGGAAATGAAGAAGTGAAAGCGTCATCAGAGTTACTTATCAGGGTCATCCAACTTTTCGGCGTGTCTGTCGCACCCCTAAAATATAAAGTCATATTGCGGGACCTACAGTTTTTCGACGTACCCGAACCAACCAAGAAGATTTATTGGAGATTGTGCAACTCGGAAGCCGAGAGTCCTTTAACAATAGCATGGCATGCGTCGTTCCCGTGAGAATCTCAAACATCAGAGTCGCCTCTTCCATTTTGATTCAAAACATACTATTGAGTCATAATGTTTATATGTACCGGACAACAACACGGAATTCGTTATTCAGCCGCGGGCCAGAGATCTGAGACCACTTCAGTTCATTGAGCACTAAAGTCTCAGAACCATATGTAGGACTGGTTAGAATAGACAAATTCGTAATGGCCTGTCAGGGAACGGGTATTTGGTGAAGCGACGGGAATACCAGTAGCTGAAATCCAAAATAACTCGTGCTATATTTGCCACGTTATCGTCTTCCGAGAAGTGTCTATTTTGAAGGAATGGTGGCCCACAGGCAGGCAGAATGTTGCCTATCAAAAGCGAATGAAAGGTTTTCTGAGGAGTTTTATGTGCTCCCATTGCGGCCTATCCTCCCATGTGATCCTCTTTGTTCTTGGTCAAGCACACTGAAAGATAGGGTGGATAACCTATGTCATTGGTACCCAGTATGTCCATTTTCTGGCTGTTGATCAGGGATCAGCTGGTCTGTTCATCAAATTTGATGGTCGGCTTGGTAACATGTACTAATTACACACACTGGATAAACCAGCAAATCAGATAATCTTCAGTTGATTCAATCCCATGATTCCGAAACGATGATTGAATGGGGCCAGACTTCCTAAACATAGATGTAAACTCTTCCAAGAACTTCTCTACCTGGAGTTTACCCCTCACGCAATGGGCCATTCCATTTCCAATAACAGCTTCCGGCGGTGCACAGGTGTGCATGCTAACGATGTCGTATGGCGAATAAAGATCTGCAAACCGATTGCGAAGGTGGGCGAACAAATTAGCTGTCATCCCAACAATAGTAAACGCACCCGAGTTACCAACATTTTGACATTCCGTGAAGATCTCAGTTTTACTTTAGAGTTTCTGGTAGTCTTGTAGGTGTGGAGATATCGGGAGTTGATGACAGGCTAGCACCAGGTTTCTTCCCTTGCATTCCTTTCATGGTGGAACTTAATTTAAATAAACTGGCATGGATGTTTGGCTACAAAGCATCAATGTTCCACACTGGTGTTGCTTCAGTTGATTCTGGTAATGACCGTTTCAACTACTAGGTGGAAGGAAGTCTCCTTACCCGTTTTTGAACCGAATCCGACAGGCTGATATGGTTAGAATCCTCATCTTTAAATCTCATTCCCGCATCGCCCTTTGAGCCATAGCATCATCTGGGAAGTTTCCCGCGTTTTACTTCACTTGTTTCATGAGCTACCAGGACTTTCACCCACGGAAATGATGCGGCTTCTCTTAGTACTGTCTGGAAGGATAACGAGCGATTGCGTCAAGCCTGCAGCAATGAGTCCTCCATAGCCGTCGTTTCTAACTTGGATGAAACCGTAACTAACATAACTGAAGTGACAACCCTCTAAACAGCATCCGTTGTGCGAATATGTGAACGACCACCTTCAGTGGCTAGGAATATTGACAATCGTTCCAGGTCCTAGGTTTTCATAAGCTCCATTTCCGGTGTCTGTAACATCTATCTACTGGTGAGATGTCTAAGTGCATACAACCTATGTTGCAGGAGCCAATATTGCTGGAGAGGACAGTCTATTTTATGGCTTCACAAATTTGAGTGTTGTTTGTTCCGAAGCGATAAATCAGCCCCAGTGAAGGTGTGGAAAATTTTCATTATGAAAACCGCCTCTAACGAGAATCCTTCCGTTCCAGTTCTGTCGCAGGTAACCCTGTCAGCATCGCTGGTTGATCTTCTAGGCTTGAACAGGTATGACTGTAGTTTGAATTTGGTTTCCGGTGGCTGTGCTAGTGAGGGTAGACGCAAAGACCTCAGACTTTGGTAAACACTTTCGGTTGTGTGTAAAGTTCGCTACCCAATTGGTTTTCACTTTCACTCACAAAACCTCTGGAGTGAGCACCTTAGGAGGCTGACTAAAAATGATCTCGCTTGTGAGTTTCGAGGAGTTCGCCAGTGAAGTATGTTACGAAAGACCAGCTGAGAGTAGTCTCTCCTAAGGGAGTTCCCCAGAGATGAACGACCGTATTAGCGTTTGCTCCTCGGTATCCAAGGGTGGAGAAATTGTTGTCGCCAAAAGTTTACAACACCATCGATGGTCATTTTATCGTCTCCGAGTGCATTCGAATTTCTCCTGCTACAGCCGTCCGGAGAGACCAATCCAAGGAAAAGCCACAAATGTGCCTCTTGAGTCGTTTGAGATACTCTCCCAGACGAAAATGACCATGTACGATCTGCATGCTAACAAAATTGTCACTGAAACTCTGGCGCTACCATATAGATGGTGCACATGATGGACGATCAACCGGACGACTGCAGCAATCACCCAGATGTGCTGTGGACTACTAATGATGAAGGGGATAAAACAAGCTACTGGTTGATAGGGTACCCAAATAGTGAGGCTTAAGCACACCGTGCGCTCGCTTCAGCGGTACAACGTCACATGGCACTGGGCACGAGCCATCCCTCGGGGCGATGCACGTTCTGGTTCAAGGCCCAGTTGCTAGAGTTTGGTTAGTGATAATAATGGATAAGAATAGGCAGGGCAAGAAACAGTGGAGAGCGAAAGGACAGGAAGAATACTGAATCCGTGCAGCCGGGGATTGTCTGTAAGGAATACTCGCCAGCCAAGGATACGGCAGAATAAATTGGAAAATTTTATTTACACAACCCCAACTAGCATGAAAGTTATTAAAGGAAATATTCACTATATCTCTGTGGGAGTACTTGATCGGAAAACGGAAAGTACTTTGATCACCATGGACGTTTAAGTCATTTTTTCTTCACTCGATTAGAACCGTCTCCAGCTACTTACAACTGTACTACATTCCTAATTTATAGGGTTTCCACAGTGAGTTGTCCGATCTGGTCACCTTATGTCACAAAGTTTCCTAGTTTAACTTATTGTCGAAACCTAAGTCGATATTTCCTACTTTCCTAGAAGGTATGTGAGCATCGGGCAGTGGCTATTCACCTTACCATCCCGGTGCACCCTTCCTAGCGTTTGGACGAGAGCCGTTCCTCACTTCGACGCTGTCAACCCAAAACATCATCTGCGATATGAAAGTGACATTCACTTTTTTTGTAAAATGGGTAGAAGGGATGGATGTATGACTGTTTTTCGTGTGTCATTTTTTGCAGACACCTGAGCGACCGAAATCTCCTTTGAATCAGAAGTCCACGGTGGTTAGTTCGACAGAATTCAGTGAGTCCGTGTGTAGTACCATGCCATTCTCGCTTAAATGTATTTATGTTGTCTGGTCCGCGTCCAAGACTTTGATTTCGTTGAAGCTTTGTCCAACAAGTGAAGAACTGGAAAGCCCTTCCTGATACCCATCATCGTGAATTTCACGAAACTCCGAGGGGCATTCGAACCCTCGGATTTCCATTTAGTGGTTGAGTACCATACTATTCTGGCACCACTTTCTGATCAGCAGGATATAGCCTCACTATCCTCCAAATACAGTTCATGCAACGTTATACGGTATTGATGGGTTCTTCGGATGAAGAGTTCCAAGGAGAGAGGCCTGTGTAACTTGCGGGAGTCTCCTTTTCTTGGAGGCTTACGTGTGGTTGACATGTCTTTTGGGTTTTTTGAAAAATTTCGTGTCCCTCTGTCGCGCTTTATCTTTTCTGTTCTTAATTCCAGAGAGCAATGGTTCCGTTTTCGGAGACAGTTCAAGCTTCATCATTCCCGGGACTCCTGAACCAGGTCACTGCAGCCCCCTTGCCCCCTGCTCCTCATCTCCCAGTTTGTCAGCCCGTCCAGCTCTCATCCCCATTCATGTGAACCCCGGAACCTCCACCCCGATCAAGAACCGTAAGCATGTAGTACACAAGCGATCCTCCTTGACCGTACGCCGACAAGCTGAACTTCTTGAAAAACACAGTGTCCAACTGCTACCTGATATAGACATTCCTAATGAATCTGAACAAATGCGTGCGGACAGGCAAGCGAATGCAGCTGCTAAGCTACGTCGTGGGAATTATGATGGACTAAATTATGCCCCGATCGATCAAGTTAAGCGTAATCTGCTGGTTCAAGCAGGTGAAGTCAGATCAACTTTTAACCCTCGCTCTCACCTACTTGTATCCAAAGCTATTGCTCTAAGCAACCGGAATTTACCCTCAAGTAAACGAGCACCTGAAGATGCTTCAGCTGGTGTCAGAAAATGTGCTCGTCTTGAGGAGAACAGCCTGTCAACTGACGGCTTCCCGTCACTTGGACGAGGTATTAAACGTACCATAGTGAAATCCGAAACGTCCAGCAGTGTTGAAGTTCGTTTGGACACTCTGGAAACCATTGCAATTAAGGAGATCTTAGATTCAGTGGACATTCCAGATCAAGTAAAGACACCCGTCATCAACTCCTCATCTTTGTCCCGGTCTTCTACAAAACCTGAAAATTCCGCGTGCGGTGATGGCGGTCAGCTCCAGGACGAGGTTTATCGTTTGGCATCTAGACATTTAACTGAAAGTGATGAACAACAGCTTGAAGTTAACGAATCTCTGGGGCAACTGGACCTGAGTAATTGGTCTCCTGAGTACCAACCCACATTTGGGTGAGTTTTTGTATATCCTCACTCGGGTTTTTCTAGTTTACGAGAAACTGATCATCACAGCTCATCTTCAAGTTTATGCACTCCCCGTCCCCATTTCATCTGAGTTCACTCACTATTCCATCCCAAGTGGGTATTCGTAAGTTTAGTTTTATAAGCGAGTTTCGAATCCGGACTAATTAGCGCCGAGGCTAAGTATTCCTGGTTGGATGGAGTCTCAGTAACGAAGTGCTGCAGCCGATTGATATGGTCTGAAAGCCGTAAGCAAATATTAGTCGAATTCGGTTGAGGGGCAAATGAAGCTTGCCAGGTTAAGGCTATTACGACATCTATCACACGTATCTGAGCCTTCCCCCGATATCCAGTTAGCGAAAGGTTCGCGGGGAATAGGTCATAGCGTGGCAACGCGAAGTGAAAGCGACTACTATCAAGTCGAGTGCTGTGGGAACTTTGCGCTTTCTTGGGTAGGGTCCTTGCACGTGGCTCGTAAGCGATCCCAATGACGAGGCTCATGTCAATCCTTAGCCGACCTACTTAGCTAACGCTCCTCTGCCTTTTGCCGGGCTTCTGTTGGGTGAGGTTCTCTAAGGACGTTGGGTGTACCGCTAATTTTGTCTTGCTCCAGCAGCACACTCATGTGTGCTCATTTTGATGGAACTTATTGGCACCTTGGTCTTGGTTGTTTTCTCTATGGTCATAGGATTTTGAAATAATTTTCCGGTCCTCTTTTCAGGTTTTACTGGGGCATTCCTCTGTGGTTGTGTTGAAGTTAAATACCAGTTTCCAACACAGACATGTTGCTGTTCACTGTGATGATGGCGATGAGTGTGGTGAACATCCACCGGGCACGTTTTTTATTGTTCGATCGCCTCCCCTTATGGGAAGTTGGTTAGAGTGCATGCAAACATAGATATTTCCGCACTAATACTTTCCAGTTTTGCGTTCTGCTCCGCTGCGTACCTTCCTAACGTCATAGTGAATTTAATTCCAAGAGATCCACCCTTGCTGGATGTGCTGATAAACGCTTCGTTTTAGCCGGCGCGACCAGACCCACCAACTCGGGAACTGTGATGTTTATCTGTTACTCGTTGATGACTTCACGTTACAGGTATTTTAGTTAGGGTTTTTCATATCTCTTAAGTAGTGTCGAACCAAGGGAATGATGAGTCGTTTTCCGACTTTCTGCATTACGACCCATTCCTACTGAGATAATAAACATTACTTTATTTCTTTCAGTAATGTAGGAATAATTTTTCCCTGAAGAAGTGCGGTCGTACTAGAGAGCTAAACATGGAACTCCAGAGCGGAGATGTGTGACCTATATCAATTTATTTTTAAAGCGTACAGTTTTAGCCCGTTAGAAATTATTCTGTCTGGGTCAGGAATAATTCAAGAAAAACTTCCTGTTGTCAAAGGCTGAGCATTGTCTTTGCTGCATTGTCCATTGTCCTTGACGCGAATTCTTAACTTGGGTATTTATAGTTAAGTATACGAAAAATGTACAGTCTATATTGTTATAATACTGCCCACAATTCATAACTGTTCTCCTGTTTGCCTTGTAGTTCTCCCCAAAAGGATCCCCAATGTTTACTCCCCATACGACCATTTTATAGGGGCACTGTTACGAAAATAGACCACACTAGGTAAGTGTTGTACATCGTCACATTCTGTGTGTAAAGCCCGGGTACAATCTGTTACCAACTTTTCACGATCCATTCGGAAGAACTGGTGAGTGTCAGGGCTTGGAGTTTTAAAAGGGATTATTATGATGCAGGACTGGTGGGCCGTGGAAAGTGGTTCTAACAAACCCTGCGCGTGCTGAATCAAGCAAAAAACAGAAACATATAGGCCATGCGTACAAGTTAGACGGGCGGCCGCGTGTTGTTCAGCTTAAGAATATGAACTCTGTGTCTGAAAATCTAATGATCGTATTGCACCACGTCCGTGCGGTGATGAAGCACATAGTAGATTGTTTTTCAAGGACCGACCACCTCTAGTTTGAAAATGTACGTACTGTCTTCATCCTTTTGCAGTGATCGCCTGCGGTAGATTCTTTCAGATATCACTTGCAAGGTTTGTAGGGCAACTTCCCCCTGTTCTGTGAGCAACATCTTTATCGGCATAAATTTTGGCACAACATACATTTAGTTCATGGACGAGCGGTGGGTTACAACACTTTTTTTTAGCATACACTCATAGAGTATTTGTTTTAGGCTTACCTAATATGTTGTCGCATGGAGGATTTTTATTACACAGCTGTCACCGGAATAATCGTGCGACCAAATTCGCCAACCCTATGTGGAATCTGATTACGACATCATAATCCCCAGAAAAGATGGTGGACGAATATGTCTACATGAGTTGTCGCATCACGTTGGATGGCAGCATTGCTGACGAAATGAGTATTAAAATTGTTAAATTCCGCTCCGAGTTCCTTGATCCTAGATCCCTTCGCCTAATACCAGCCTATCAGTGAAGGTGAGGCAATGTGGTCGCGTATCCAGTGTTGCTTTACAGTTGTGGAGATGGGACATTGTGCTCTAAACACGAAAGGGTCATTGTTGCCATGCCTGTGGAGCAATGCACATACACTGGATCGAAAATACTGAAGTGCGATGAACGGATTCCGGTGATAAGTTATGTGACTGCTTGTTCAATGAATGACCTTATTTGGCTGTATCAACCACACTGGCTCGACACTGCGCCCGATGGCCGCCTAATACACCACGGCCCGTTTGCGGAAACAGTTCATGGCTGGAGGACACCACAAAATGGGCAGGCCACGACCTGGTGACAAAGCTTCACCCCGTTAGGTTGAGCTGTCAGAGATTAACCACATCATTGATGCGCTGGTCTGGGGGCGCTCATCGACATGGCGATGTCACGTCGGCGCTGTTGCGTCTGTTCTCTCCTTCCGAAACAATATCCCGCTATCCCGTTCTTCACTTTTTTTCCATATTTACGATTCCTTTTAATCCCACACACTGAGACGAGAATGATCAGTGGTTAGAGTGCGAATTTACTAGCCGGAAGGTCCGTGTTTCGAACCCGACTTCCGCTTCTCAAATTCTGCTGTCTAGGTCTGGGCAACCTGCCAGTGTCCCAGCCCTCGTGATTCTTTCTGGTGGCATAGCAGTTGGGCACCGAAAGAAGGCTACAGCTGAACGGTTTTTCTTACACTACTCGCTGCCATATGTTACGGAGAACCCAACCTCCGTACATGCGCAGTTGTCAGAGTGAACTTATCTAGCTTAGGGTTCGTTGTTACATGTTTTATACCGTCAGCCTTAAACTAAAAGTTCTGTAGCTTAGAAAAAAGTCTTCTTATTCATCTATCTCTACTGATTGAACATTACTCTTTCTGGCATTTTATGTTGCCTGTGAGAACCCAAGCCACTTGACGCATCATATGCATGGTAGGTTTCACGCGAAATTTCACTTTCAACCGGTCTTGTGAGAATAAACTAGTATTGCAGGAGGAAGAATAATTTATAAGACGCGTGAACCTTGCATTTGAGAAGTGATCACTCGAGGAACAAGTCAACACGTGTCCACGTGTAGTGAATTCCCCATATTATGTGTAATTGCGAGTTGCTCACCCTACAGATCAGCCGCACGTGACCGAACGACAAGCCAGGAATCCCTAGAGTTTCGCAAGATGCGCACTGCTGATGACTCCCAATAAGAATGAAATTGCTACCCACTGTTTCCCGACTTTTCGGCATAGACTAATTTCAGTCACGGGACAAGATCTATCCTGACCTTGCCATATCTTCTTATACTGTCAACAAAAATCAAAGGATCACAAACAAGCGTTGGACAGTTAAAAGTCCTTACTTTGGTCGAGCACTAGGTCTCTATAGACGACTGAAACCTCTGAGGAGAGATTCGACCGCAAACAACTCATCGCCCCACAAATACTTATTGAAGGCAACCCAACGATTGTTAACTCGATTTTTGGCGTCAATCAATGGTACCTAATCTTTTTGCTTTTCAGCTGATCTGTACTACCTAAGGGATTTGGTTACAAAAAATTTCTCGATGTTATTTTACTTGCAGAAGTCGAACCCAAATGTCCCTTTCTTTGGCTGCGGATTGTTTGACCAGTGCATTTCCAGACGGTACGGGTATGTGTCACTCGCTGAGTGTTGATCTGTTGGGCTCATGGTAAGGTTCATTATCAGGTTCAGTTTATACAAGTTCACATTATCACTGTTTTTCGTTTTTCGACTTCAATATAGCTTCCGTTACTTATTAATAGGTGTGATACTGAGCTGCGAATTGGGGACACCATCCACATTGTGCCATCGTCGGACAGTTGCTCCGGGCAAAGGACGCATCTAAGTATCGATGACAACAATCCAGCCTCTGTGATATCTTCATCAGACCACATCCCTACGGTACTCATTCAGCATCCGGATTTTTTATTGTCTGGGACTAAATTGGTCTCAAGTTTTTTCTGCGAACGACGCACAGTTATTGAAGAGTTTTGGTCTTCGTTCGAGGATGCTGCTGTTGAAATCAACTCTATAGGTGACCGTCCTGCTCCTGGACGTGTCATGCTAATCGGGAGCTTCGTTCACGAGCTTCTCCAAAAGGTGTGTTGTATATGGCAGGCTGGTGGCCTCTGATATGTACGAGTTCATGTTGAGCAGTAATTCTGTTATCATTTATTCTCTTTTCCTCACATTGTGCTTGATATCTTTCTTCATCCTGAACGTATCTGTCGGCAATATTTGTTCATCCGCCAGTTGGTCTGGCTACAAATCGTTTGGTCTATGACTGATACAGTGTGCTTAATCTTCAGTGCAGTCCGTAAGCGTGAAAAGTGCGTCAAAAGACTAGCATGCCACTGTCTCAGTGAAGCTATCACACTGACGTTGTCAGGATCGGACGTGGTTTTCAGCAGCGTATATTCTAATCAACAGACGCATACGACTTTCGGTTTTATTATTCGGCACCAACCTTTCCCGCTTGTTCCAGTTTTCAACTATGTACAGGGTCGTGTATAAGCTGAACGCAACTACTGAGTAGTGATTTACGGTTGCGAGTAAGTATCATGAGTATCAGTCAATAAAACGCCATTTGATATGCCGTACAGATCGTACTATCGCTCCGAATTCACTAGCCAATGTAAAGAAAGCCTCCTAACTGATGAATTTGTTGGTAATCGTTCGTTCAGCTGTAGCACCCTTTGGGTGCCTAGCTGCCATGCCACGCGAAGGAGGCACGAGGGCTGGGAGGGCTGCCAGGTTGCCCAAGCCTAGACAGGGGAAGTCGAGAGGCAGAGGTCAGGTTCGAACCACGAACCTTCTAGTCAGTAAATTCGCGCTCCAACCAGTTGGTTCATCTCGCCATGGTAAATGTATGGTCTATTCGCATGGATTCAGTTGACAGTTTAAACATCACTTGGAGCATAGATGGATGCACTCCGCTTGAACGTCTTGTACATTTGCTGACCTCAAAACAGTCCTATATTTTCTATCCGCATTTCAAATTAAGTGGATATCAGCACATTTACGTTCTTTCTCTTTTCAGTTAGTTGTCACTCTCAAACCGACGAAAAGTAGTGCCAATCAGCTTATCTCTTCCATTCTATATCGACCCGACAGCATTTTGCAAATGTAAGCTTTGATTTTTGTGTCGGATGTTTGATATCTGTTCAGGTATTCATGACATTATCTTCTCATCATTGCAAGTGATTTTGTGACGGTAGCCGGTAATTGATTATGCCTTTTCACTGAAAATTCACCACGTCTGACGTAGCATACCGAACTTGTCAATATCCTTCGTTTTTTAATCCACTGGTGTGTCTCCTACTGGACCAACGCCTGGGACCCTTTTGCTTTTTTGTAGGTACGGTTGCGGAGTCGAACTAGACGAAATGCGTTCCTCCCTCGGTCCCTACGTCACGAAAGTTTTGCGCTGGATTGAAGTGAACTGCTGTAACTTTTCTACTGGGACTTGTTCGTGAGTCAATGCCGTTGAACGGAGGTTCATTCCAAAAGTAACATAACCCAAACCAGTCTCTCCGTTTATTGTTTCTGCCGCCTTAATTTCCTACTCACTGGATGGGGTGGAGTTCCAGAATAGGTTGGCTTGATTGATATCGTATTTCAAGACCACATGCTAAAGTGTCCAGTCAACATCCCCGTCAACCACAGGCTTAGATTACGACTAATCTCCTTACCTATGGGTTTCGTTGATTCTTTCTCAACTCAACGCCGATTCAGATTTGTAAAAATCTCGTGAGGCATTGCTGGCATTCCCACTCTGCTGTATTTTTTTTAAACCATTATGTGCATTCGAGATAACTCAAGGTGCGAGCTGACTGAATGAGAGCTACGTGACTCGAGTCTAGCTATATATTGTCTACTGAAGGATGCCAGAGCTTAGCAGGTTGATCTGTTTTTTAACCAGATATGGGTGTGCTCGAAGCACGTAGCCTAATTTCGGTAGAATCTGACTAATGACGGAGTCGGGCCCCATCTGCAGTCTGTGTGACGATTCGACTAATGGTTAGTCGTGACAAAAGCTTATACTTTTTCACACGTGGACACAATTAATAGAATTCATATCTGTCTTATCAATCCTTATTCGATTTGATTATAAATAAGAATGATAGTCAGGAACTGATTTTTCGATCTTATCCAGTGGGTCATCTCTGTATTCATTGTAAGGTTCCACTTTTTTGGCCATTGTTTCCATCCCCTGCTAACACATAGTGGAATTGTTTAAACGAAGGAAAGGAGTCTGTCGGCAAAAGACGAATCGCTACCGTTAGGGTGTTTATTTGCTCCCAGACTATGGTTTGTGCGCTAACTTATTTTGGGCTCCAAAGATAAACAAGCGCTATGTGAGAGGCAGACATGGCGCAATGGATATGTGACACCACCTGAAAGCCCCTTATCACGCAACAATCGGAAGTGGACTTCTGATAACCTAACTTACCAAGTTGGTCAGGTTACTAACCGTGTTTCTTCATTGTTCACTCAACATTTATCAGGTTGCCCGGTTGCACTTCAACTTACCCGATTGTACACAAAGTTGTTAATGTCGAGGAGAACTTTTGGTCCACGAAGTAAGTCTGCACTACTTAGTAGCTCATTTTATCGTTCTTTCCATGGGACATTCAGTTCGCTTCCTGTTGTTCCATAGATTTTGTGTTACAGAGCACGACTTCAGCTGTAACACAGGTTAGTAGCCTGACTGATTTCTGTGTGGTGACCGTGAAACATATACAGCTTCGCGAAAGTTACACATTGATTTCATTTTTTGCAACATGTTCATTGGGATGTGAGCTAAAAGGATGGTCCCCCTACGTAGATGAATAAAACTGAAATGCTTGAAATATTTGTATTTCTGACAGTTCTGCTGGTAACTTGGCCAAACTCGTGGTAAGGAAAATGTATGTGACCACTTGAATGTCTATCCGTATGCACTGAACTACACAAAACCTTATGCGCTGTAGACACATTAACATACCATTAAAGTAGTGATGGACAACTTGGTGGTAGATCTGCTAACCGTGCGGTTAACGAAGTTGGGCCACATATCAGGAAACGATGACTACAAAGTGGAATAAACTCTCCTTAAATCTGCTTTTTTCAGCAGGTAGGCAAGTGCGTGTGACCTACAAGATCAATCTTACGTGTGCGTATGCCTCTTCATTTCGTGCACGTTCCCGCAGTCGTAGATGCACTACGATACTTGAGTCTTTTTCGAATGGTTTGCTCACAGCACTGAGACTCCTCGTGTCTGGATAGTCAGCGTTCTCCAGACATTTTTATTGAGACCGACAGGTCTGCGAACGGTCTTAAATAGAGGGTGCAATTTTTCGATTACGCGAAGATCATCCTAGTAGCTGACTTATGGACGAGCACAAACTCCGGACACAGTCAAACGAACCGTCGCTGGAGATATAGCTTGTGTTTAAAGGGTACAAACGCTGTCTAGTTGCTCAAGAGCACAAACTACTTCTAGCGAAACAATGGGGCAAACTAAACTGAGTAGATGTGTTCAAAACCCCAGGGGTATTTTTCGGCAAATAGTGTAAACGAAATGGATCGTACGGTGTTTTCTCGCTAGGACATGATGTATAGAATTCCCACAGCACCAGACCATGCGGTACAAACCACTGAACCGAATCGAATCCATCCTTTGTACATTAGGTGGGCATTCTTTTCTACGTCTGATCGCTTCAGACATGTTTGAGTCTCTCATCTTGATTTCCAACCTAAACACGTCATACAAACGCGCTGTACCTCTGTCCCAGCTATCTTTGCTTGACGGCGTCAACAGTTATTAAAAATAAGCACATATGTTCCATTTATTCGATATCCGACTTGAGTTCCTGGACCACTTTTTGTATCGTTATCGTGATGTAACGTATTTCTCGGTCAACGCATGCACTCCACGGTGACTGATAGTCAAGCACTATGTGTATCAGACATCTATGCATCATCGCAATCCAATCTTTTCGTGACGGTGATTCGGCTCTCTGTGCGCAAATAAAGCTGGTTAGCGATGCACGGATAAGTACAGTGAAGGGAAACTAGTAAGCCGTAGCATACAACCGTCGGCATATTCCTTATTTTGGCCTTATGATCCCATTGTTTTCATCGCATCATTCCATTAGCCATGTCTGAATGTAACCCTCCATCCATTACTATAATTTTCCTTCTAGGTTTGGCATCAAAGGCAGGGTCGATCTGTCAGTTCTTGGGCATGTATCCCACCCAGCAGCCCCCCATACACGCGGCAAACAGCTTTCTCTGATCCCAATAGAATTGAAAACCGGTCGTCCGAGCTATTCGATAGAACACAAGGGCCAGGTTTGTCAACGATACCTCTGTTTACCTTAACCATCCGTTGAGTTTCCCAAAACTTTTCACACCAGAAATTTCGTGGACGAGGAGCAGTTTGTTGATTTTTTTTCTGTGAAGATTTCGCTTAATGAAAACAATTCTTCCCTACTTTTGCCTACTCTAGGTGTTACTCTATCTCCTAATGCTGCTTGACCGCTATGGTCCTACGTACACCTGTGAAGATTCGCTTAATGAAAACAATTCTTCCCTACTTTTGCCTACTCTAGGTGTTACTCTATCTCCTAATGCTGCTTGACCGCTATGGTCCTACGTACACTTCGGCGCTTCCAGAGCTTATATCTACCGCCAGTACCGGGTGGCTTGTGTATCTGCAGGATGATTCCATCACACCGGACAACAGAAAGCCCCATCCCGGCTTCGTCTTTCCTCAAGCAGACAGTTTTCGTGGGTTGTTGCAAACTAGGAACCGCCTAGTCACTCACCTTTGGAGACTGATCTGCTCACTGTTGAACGGGAACGTATCTGATCCAGCCTCGTGGATGCCACCAATACCTCAACCAACAAAACAGTTACGGTCCTGTCAACTGTGTCCCGTTCAGATGGCTTGTAGCTTGCTAGACGCCTCTTGTGCTCCTGTACCCAATGGAACTAAGTGGTATGCGCGTTACTTCTTTCATGTGTGACTGTTGATTACATCGAAGCATAAAACTGGAACACGTCAGCGTGAAGTTAAAAGTAATGGGTTGTTTATGTGTAGCACAGTCTTCCAAGCGACTGCTTCTCAGTCCTTAATCTAGTGGTCTAAAATAGTGTCCGTCTGCCTACCGTCTCGTCGGCGACCGTTTCGACACATCCTGGTAACTGTGATTATTGGGTCACAATCTTCAAGTGCTAACAACATACAGTTTCCGATCAGTTATTTACCGTTTACTGTCTCCGTTTCATTCATGACGTAATGGCTTATTATTTGTAGTCTTGCTCAAATACCAGGCCCATCTTCAAACACCATAACAATTGTTTAGATCGACATTGATCGTAGCACCGAATAATTGAAAAAGTTGCATGTCTTTTGGAACTTTGTATTTCGGTACAAAAGGTGAGATTATTTCAGCAGTTCTTCTTTTATGGGCTACAGCAATTACGCACATTTGCGTTTTCATGTCTACCTCGTCCAAGTCAGAAGCCATTGTGTTATCGTTCTTCAAGTCGATTCCCTTAAACATATACATTCCAGAATCTTGCATGCTGTTCACTTTCGGATGAAGGCTGATTGCTAACAAATATGATAACATCTGGAAGCTGACTTTCTTAGCATGCTATTAAGCCACAGATATACTGGGCCAGTCTGATGGGCTGGCACTTTTGAGATGGAGTCAATCAGTCCAACCCCACAAGTTGATTCTCCGGTAACCATGCTTTTTAGATTGATTTAAAGTTTCTTGATGGTTAGGCTAGTTTATAATGATTTTCTCGGAATCCCTCCTTGGTTTGTTGGTGTGAGTGCCGCCCTACCACCTCAAAAAAGGGTTTGGATTTTTGGTGGCATGTCCAAACCAATAATTATACATTCTGGTTTGTAGGTCGCATGTGTAGGTTGATAAAAACCAAACTACACTTTTTAAAGTTCATTCACTATGTTTCTTCTGTTGTTTTCCTCATTTCACACAGTCGTACTGTTCTGGATGAAGTAGACTTACACTCGGTTCCTCAGCTTCTCAGCAGTAAACGGGCGCATTTAAATCCTTCCCATTTGAGTTTCTTCATGCGATGGTGTACACTACTCCTACTTGAATACGCCTATTCTGACCGTTTGGATGCAGTGATCGGTCGAATTGTGTCTTCTAAAACCTCATCGGTCAAGACCGCACCAGACGTGTGAGTCTCAGCTTTCGAGTTGCCTTGCGTTTATTCCTTGATGTTGGTTGATTGTCCGTTTTCAATGCCTTTTCTTAGAGCCGTTATATCTACCTCTCATTGTTTCGATGGTATAAGTCATTTGGCCGAAAAACGATGTTTACCACTCCGTTCTGCGGTCCTGATAAACAGCTATCATTTGGTACACAATGAAATCGACTCCTACTTTGACATTTTTATTTCATCTGTTCACAGTGGTGTCCGTCGATTGAAGGTTTGTTCCGCGTTCCCTGTATCGGGCCATTGGAAGACTGTGTTAATTCCCGAACGAAGAACCTCTCAAATGTAGGTTTTTATCTATTGTTTCCTGGGTGGCCTAGATGCTACGGCATAACACAGAAAGTGTTCCGACAGGATAGGATTCCAAATGTGCCCTAATGTGAAATCAATTTTTCCAGTTTTGGGAATGTTCAACCTTCTGTGTGAAACCCGCATTTTTACACTTCTCTTTTGGAACATCTCAAGATTCATATATTAACAGTTCATGAAAAAAACACTGGGTTCAAGTAGAACATAAGGTTGACGAAAACTGTCGTGGGCTTCCAAGAGTTTTCAACAAACTTGTGAGTAGTTTCCTTTATGAAAAAACTGGGTTGTTGTGACACAAGGATACACAGCGATTCTCCAAACAAGACCTCAAAGAAACACCAGATACCCTCTCTCCCTAGGGCGGTAATTTGTCGTTTCTTACCCATATTACAAGGAAAATGGGTGTATCGTCACTGTCTACAAACATGCCCTAAGCGCAACTATGTATCACGTCTTTATTGTGACTGGCAACAGGTTTGTAACTTAGAATCTCAAATTCATGCTTTCCTGCTGCACTACAACATTCGGTACTACTCATCTTAAAAGTGGAGCAGCTTTGAGGACTTCACCTTGCCAACGGATTACTAACATACTTGTTGGATAATGAGGAGGCACATAATAATAAAAAGAACGAAAATAACAAAGGAACTTCAGGACAAAGGTGTCTTCCGCGTCATTCCCTCCAATATGTCATGTCTTTTGCATTTGTGTGCCCAACTTGGTCTCTGGATTTCCTTAGTTGCTCGGTGTCATTTTGCATGAAGTAGCTGGACCAGTCCTACGCATAACCTAGTACTTATGCTAGAAGTGGCTACATCTCGTGCTGTTCCGTGGTAACATGTCGATCTCTATTTGTGCCATATTTTTTGCCCTATTCGTCGGATGATGTATAACGTATGATAAGTCCCATATTTCTTCAACCAGTGAGTTATCATCGGTAGCCGAGTCTCCAATTTTGGTTCCAGTAATGAATTTCTTCACATTTGGCCAATGTCACTTGCCATCATCTTTCGAACCGTTGAGGTTATGTGGGTTCCCATGAAACAAAACGCCAACGGTGGTTGTTACGGCGTATCTTCACCCTGCCTCATTGCTTTGCAGATCTGAAGTGTGCATGGGAGTCGGCGAATTTGTGATCGTAAGCAGCGATGACAGTCGCCACGTTGGTTTGACGCTTGGGACTATCGTGCCTTTTACCCATGAAGTTGTGCAACAACTCGACAATCGGGCACCTGTTGTTTCATCCATTTCACGGACTAACTGTATTGTACTTCAAACTGATCGGTAAGTCCACGTACGATTTGTCCAAATCTCACGCAAGAGGTGCGTGTTTTTCCGACTACAGAACAGACTAATACTTGTGAAATCTTTGTATTTGATCTTCAAGTGAAATAATCAAAATATTTTTCGAGGAATATGCCATTTGTAATGCTTTCAGAGGCGGGAAATCTCGTTCCTTGATGCCATTCTTGGTATGTTGATTGTTCTAGCCAGATCTGGCACCATTTCCACCCGTGTACCTTCCACTAGTCACACCGCAGCCAAAGTGTCGTTACAGGTGCGTGGTTGGTTTCCAGTCATGCTGTCTCTTTATCTTCGATCACCGTTTAGTCATCCGATTGTGCATTTTAGATGCAGTGATTCTCCAGAAGCATCCGTAACTCTACTTGACGTTCTCGTACCGAACGAACAATCTGGATGTGTTCGGAACTACAAAGTTCGGCCATTGAGCTATCCCTACAAAACATTCATCTGTGTGTGTATCCCTTATGCTCGTATTCCTAACCGGCGACTGAAGCCATGCTGTCCAGCAAGTGTAAACGATAGATTCTTTTCGAATTATCATGCATGTTAGAAAGAGGAACAGCTTGCATACTTAAGCAGGGACTTCTCTCTCGTACACTAGAGTTAACCTTAGCTTTTTAACGTTTTGCGTTTTTGAAACCGTACAGAACATCTCCGTAACAGTAAGTCTCCTGGTAATTAAAATTGTCATTGAAGCTGTTGGCAATTGGATGACCGCAAAAGCGTATTTTACGCTCAATACAGGCATCATTAACCTTCGCAATGCTTTTACGTTATGTATTTACTCCTTTTTTGACTCCTTTGTGGTTTTGTCATTTCGAATAAACCATTAGTATCTATATGCTAAGTTATTCACAGTGACAGTTGCTCAGTTGCGCCAAAAGCCACGTGCAACACTCATGTCACGCCATCCAGTTTGTCTGACTGGATTACTATCACTGAGCTTCATTGTGGCCAGCTCCAACCCAGGCCGGTACGTGTGAAAAGTTTTCTGCTGCGCACTGTTCTCTATGAACCGATAACCACCTCAGCTAAACAAACTTCCCAATCCTACCAAAAAAACTTTTTAAGTCGTTATTCCTGAAACAAAATGCGTACCGCTTATCAGGGCGGGACCAACAGCCTATCTGGAAACACACATGCGGTTTTGGAACCTTGAAGGTCGAATCGAAATCCACGACCGTATTCACTTGATCACCCAAGCATAAAGGAAAATTCTCTCAAAAGGTTTCTCGAATTCCTCTGGAATCCTAGTGAACGTGTTGCTTACTCCACTTTTCTATCGGAAAAATTCAGTTCGCTTGTGTTTGGCTGACATGCCACCAAGCCTTATTCAGATGTTCGGAGATTTCTTCGTCAGATTTACACCACAGTGAAATTCGAAAGCAGCCTGTTGTCGTTTTTCTTCATATCAGCAAAAATGGGATCATTTATTTTCTGCCATTGTATAACCGAGCATAACAGTGAACACTATAGATGATTACGTCTGTTGGGAAAACTGTTAATTGTTATACTCCAAAGAAAGTTAAGTCATGTGCTCGAACAGGAGAACATTGTTTAGAAGATCCCAAAGTGGAATTATCGCACTTCACAACTTATCAGAAAACCTGTGATATTTATACAGATCCTTTATCGTGTGTTAACTACTACCCCTTCCAATCGAATAGACTAATCCGCAGCAGAAAATTCGTATCTCGGATTATGTTAGGGTTTGTGCATCAGGTTCACCCAGAATTGCCTCAATTCACTGCATCATCGCCTCAAGTGATCATATGCGTTATACAGTTATCACCCCTAATGATGCACCTGTATAATACTACAGCGTTAGCATGTAATACACTTGTGAGGAATAAGTTTTCCTACTACCTGTTCTTCCAAACGTGCTTGGTTTCTCACTGTCAAAATAGAGGAGAAATACTTAGGTTTTTTCAGCTTTTTTATTCTTTCATTTCCTTATCGCGGCCGGCACGTAACTTTTCAGCATATTTTATTTTCACATCATTTTCTCGCTTTCAAAGTGCGCTTCCCACATGGGTTGACCTATTCCGCTTGGATCGCTACGTTTCGTCCAAGGCAGTTCAGCTGAACTTGTCAAACATGGTCGGTCTAATGCAACGCACCTCCACTGGGTAGGTAATTGCTAGTGTCATCTTCGTGGTTGTGTGTAACGAGTTCTACGTCGAAGTGGGATGGCCGTGTTTGAATATATTCTTGAACGTTTGTCTCAATAATGTAACTGGGCACATTTAACCATCCCTGGCATGTGTATGTGCTGCGGTTTTGACGGTATGTGGTACTATGTGGTATGTTACACTCTTTGAGAAGCTTTGATGAATCGTCCGGCGCAATTGAAAGTACCATCTTTTTCTCGATCAGCGTCACTGAAGCAGCCAACTGGATGAACTAAGGTTCTGTATTAGACGGTCTTGACACTATATATATATATATATATATATATATATATATATATATATATCACCCGTCTTATCGTGCCAGTAGCTCACAGTAGCTGCCTCCGGGAGTATAGTACTGGACACAGGCGGTACGCTGATTTACAGGCTGGCTAAGCCAGGTGAAGGAAGAGTCCCATTGCAGCGAATGGGCCCGTGGAGTTGTAGCATAACATGCAAAGACAGCATAACATGACTTGGAAGAAGAAAACAACCCCCGATATCCGTCGGCCGGGACAATTTTCGAAGGGTACGTGGACCCTTGCCGGTACCATGCAACCTGATATCATACAAACCTTCAACATGTCAGCCTCTTGCCTAACTCTACGGAAAAAACTGAGGATTTTGCAGATCAATGAATCAAAGTCCAGTATTCATCTTCACGTTGGGTTTTTGGCATTTTGGACACTACCGGGTTTATAAAATTCTCGTTTGGATCGCACTGTGTGTCGTTCTTTCAGTCCGTGCATGTGACAGCTTTTCTCCAGTGACTCATTTTTTGGTCTCTTCGTGCGCTTCGTGCTACATTCGAAGTTATGCTTGTTTTTTCTACGAACAATGCAACGAAAAGACGAGTTCTGTGTTGTTTAAGCAGATCAGAGGAACCAAGTGTTTTCAACACCTTATAGAATGACCGATTTTCCTCTGTAGATAATGCTTCCATGTTTTGTTCGTTCTTATTGCCCTGTAAGTTGGAAATGCTTCGTTTCCCCTGATTCGGGCTGATTCTCGGGTACACAGTAGTTGTTTTTGACGCTCAGTTTTTGACAATACAATTGGTGATCCTGCAGGGGAAAATAGCCACCATTAAATTCGGTTTTTGGAGTTATTCCCTGCATACATTCCAGTGGCAGGGAATTTTTAATGACAATTATGGTAGGCTGCAGTCCCCTCGAGAAACTCTAACATCCAGATAGCTGTTTATCGAGGTATCAGGCTTGTGTAGAACAAGATCTGTTTTCTTAATGATCGGACAATAATTTGCATCTTCTATGCTATTTTGTGCTCTCCCCACCAGTGACTATTTGCGGTCGTTGATCATTGATGGAGCAAAGCCGAGCTTTACTGCCACCCTCTCCAAACATGTAGTGACCGGCAGTAAGTCATCCGTTACTATATTAGTCACCTCTTGGTTCCAGTACGCGGAATTCTAAGGCATTTGAATACGTGTCAAAAGACGGCAGTTCTACGTGTTCTAATGGCCAACCACTATGTTCTCATCAAAGGCTATCCGGGTACTGGTAAGTATTGTCTTTTCTACTTGGGTACGGAGCTTCTGCCGAACAAATGTTACAACCTTTTGTTATCCTTCCAGGGAAAACGGAAACTTTGGCGTCGCTGTTACGTGTGCTGATACGGCTGGGACAAAAGGTGTTAGTTGTTGCCCATACTCACTCAGCCGTGGATAATCTGTTGGTGCGACTGATTAAGGTTGGTTTGCATCATAACTTCGGTCTGCGCTGGTTTTCATCATATTTTACTATTTCGGATCACAAAACTTGAACAGACTTGTTCGTTGTCGGACAACTTGCGGTTTTTATACCCTGGACCGTCGCAAATGAGTCCGGTGAGAATCTGCTCGTAGAGTGCTCTATTCAACGCTTAGTCTACCGTTACAAGTGGCTTCAGTAGTTTGGGATCACTTAATAATAATTATTATTAAATAAATGATCTTTCGGTGCTTACCTGCCATACCACCGAAGGAAGCACGAGGGCTGGGGTACTGCCAGGTTACCCAAACCTAGACAGGAAAAGTCGAGATGCGGAGGTCAGGTTCGAATCGGTAAATTCGCGCTCTAGCCACCGAGCCATCTCACTTATTTCATCACAGGCCTTATCTTGTGAGCCGTTTGCAAGCATTTCAAATAAAGTAGCTGATTTCTCATTCTCAGCAAAAGCTGTCATATATTTTTCTTCCTCATGAGGATCATGAAATGCTACGCAATACGTTCACTAGACTGGACATACGTTCAAACACTTTGAGATCAAGACTTCTCTATAATCGCATCGGTACCCTTTTAGTCTCCTGTCGTGGCATGTCGGGAACAATCCTGTGGCGTCTTGACAACTCATTCAAAACTTGCTCTGTTTGGTTAAATCGTTGCAAATTTGTCATTAGCATTTGTTTCTATTCTACAGAGTGGTGAACAAAAGATACTTCGTCTCGGACCAACTGACAGAGTTAATCCGGAACTATTGGCTTGTACTTTTGAACATATGCTGCATCAACAGATCAAAAGTGCTGGTTCAACAACGGACCCGATTGCCTTTGTTCGTCAGTGTTTAGAGGATTCTGTAAGTCACACCGTTTTTCATCCGTTCGGAAATCCTTTTTAAGCCATACATTCATGGTGTTCCTAAGCTCTGGTCCAATATTCGTTTGCCCGCTGTTGCTTTTTACAGTTCAAATCCTTGCTTTTCTTTGGCATCCAAAACAAAAATTTTTTGCGTACCTCTCACTTTCGATGTGAGTCACTGATTGGAGTTCATATGTCTGTGGTCTAGCCCGTAATCCCCACCCCCTATTGCTTTCCTCTCATTGTTGAACTTTGGTGAAATAGGACTTTCCTCGGTGGAGAAAGCCACAATCTCCACTGATTCGCTCTCACTGAACTCTTCTGTTTGTCACCCTTGCATGTCCAAGTAACTGTTTTACTCAGTCCTTTTATCGAGGTTTTCTGTTGCGAAACTCACCGGCTCCTCATACTTCGTGTGCAGATTGAATTTTACTGTGAACCATTCTTAGGGAATCCCAACTCCATAACTTTCTCCCCATCTAGCCGTCCTCTGCTTCCTTGAGCCTTCTGTAAAATAACGGTTTAGCGGGTATTTGGCATCCTGGCTGCCTTCATTCAATGTCTCCCTGTATTTTCGATATTCTGAGCGTGGAATCTTCTGACTTACGAATCACCAATTTCCATAAATTCATGGTTCCGCGTATAGTATGAAAAACAGAATAACTTCCCACAATCTTAGTTAACTCTTCTTGGGGGATTGAATTGTCTTTTATGCCACGGTGAACTGTTTGTCCAACCCCGCTTCATGTCGCTTCTTCAATACAGGCCGTTGTGGGTTGCACAGCACTCGCTGCTAGTGGAGGGTCTGGAGCCCAGCATCCGGCGTTGTGTCGAACTCGATTCGATCTCATCTTGGTGGACGAAGCTAGTCAATTACTGCTCCCCACTTCCATTGGTGCTTTACTTTGCCTTCGTTCGATGGACGAATCAACAGATCGTCGAAGCCGTTTTGTTCTGGTTGGAGACCCACATCAGTTACCACCTTTGGTACAAAGCAACGAAGCGCGGTATGTACATCTCTCCACCTCAATCCGTCGTTAGGGTATTTTTTGTTTAATTATGAAGCTGGAGAATGAGGTCTTACTGTTTTACTTGATTTTCGTCGGAACAGTGCTTTAACTAAGGTCATTTCGGTCTTACGCTCCGGGCAGAACTGCTCTCATCAGCAGTTTACCCACGTACGTTTTCTGCCCTTTACGAATAGACAGTCTGTAAGTTCCGCGGTGATTAGTTACCCTTTCCAGTGGCTCAGGGGAAGAATGATCTCATACGGTGAGTTGAACTTTCATCTAAGAACTCTTGGGGAACCAGTCGGTACTTAACCACGTGACGTTTCTGTGACTGAAGGATGAGCAGCGCTGTGTCCTGTCTGAGTGAGAGCTAATCACACCGCTGTTCAACCGCTCGTCGCCGTATGGTTAAATGTTCAATCACCGACCGGAAAGTCGTGGGTTAGAAACTCCCTGAATTTCGCGAGATATTCACTGCTGATGATCCCTATTAAGGATGAAACAGCTTTACAGTGCTTCTCGGTCTTTTAGCATAAGTTGGCTTCACCGGCACGACGAAATGCCAGTTACCAAAACTCCTCACAATAGCACCAATCTACAATTACTTCGTTGGATGAAGTGGTGAACAATGAAATGATGATGGAGGCAGAGTTGACGTAAAAACCACAGATCAAGTGAGGTAACAGCGTTACCTGAAAATGTGATAAGATCAGCCTCAGCTCCACGGGAAGCCGAACAAGTGTCCTTTGCGTTGATATGCACCCGCCCCACCTTAACTCGGACCTGGGTGTGTGAAACCTGCACTTTCGGCAGGTTACCTGTTTGTGTGATCCGCTTTCCCCAATAGCTGACAGTTGGTCGTAGTATTTGGAAGGTGTATTTCGCATAGGAGGGTGGCGTGATGATGGAAAAAATTCTTACAGTTTTTTGCACGTTCCGGCTGGTGAATGTCTTGGGCGTGTTTCGGAGCGAGGGGTTTTTGGGTTTTTCTACGACTCGGAGACAAGTGTATTGAGAACGCAGAAGGTAGTGCCCATTTTAGTACCAAAACCCACGTCCTAACCACTTAATCGCCATCAATAACACGTAAGTCTCGTTAGCTATTGGGCACCAGAAACAAACGATTAAAATAGTAAGGAGATGGTAAGTGATTTAGACAACGGGTCAACAGTAGGTTGTCCGTAAGCTGAAAGCCTCTCCAGAGAAAATGGCACTGCTGATCGTTACTCAGTGCAGAATCAAGTTGGCAAGACCTACAATACTTGAAAAATGATTCGCGTTTGTAAGGTGAGCAACATAGCATATGTATCTCGCGTCAACGTAGCAATTTTCGCACTGGTACCGCAATCTATCTTCCGTCAGCTGGAGGTGCTCCATTGGCGCTCAATTACCAGCATCTTTTAAAGAGAACGCTATCAACGGCCCATATAACTAAGAAAGTTCTATTGTACACCATCGGTGTCCAGTAATGATGATCATAGATTTCCTTAGGTTCCAGTGCTACGCCACTCGTGTTCCCACGTGGCTGTTAAGTGTCAGTGTAGGATGCAATAAATCCCCCTGATGAGAGAAGATGTGTCGCGTCTATCGAGAGACACCTATGACTTATAAGGAACGCTACCGCAAATTTTTTTAAGGAATTGGCTTCTGTTCAGAAGGGTCTTAGATGGTACCGTATTCCTCTGTTCTCACTTGCCTATCGGGCGACTTGGAAGCTGCAGAATCTTGAGTCATTGTGAGGGCTGTTTTTTAGTTTTAGTATGGCCACTTAACTCCCTACATGTGTTGTATTCTTCATGGCTCCGCTTCTCGCAAAGCAATTAGCGCACCTATTAGCAGTCAGTTCCAGTTTGTGAAGTGTTTTCAACCTTGAGCTGTACATGAGGTGGGTCTTTATTTCGGCTTGTCTTAGGAAAGCTGGCTTGGATCGCAGTCTGTTCACTCATTTGCTGGCTATGAACGAACCGGAATCCGTTTCACCTGTTTCTCCAAAGTCCGGGTGTGTGGTTGCCTTAAATCTCCAATATCGAATGAACTCACCCATCCTTCGATTAGCGAATGAGCTATCCTACTCGAACGCAATGAAGGCTATTGATGCCTCTGTCGCAAACGGAACACTTGCAGACCGGTTGACCCTTTCTTTTGAACAAGTGGTTCGCGTTCCTGATACCAGTAAAGTAAGTTCCTATTTACCTTTTATGACGTACTCAACCTGGTGGATTCGTAACTACTTGATGTTGCACACCTGTCCTTTACTTTACTCATGCATGCTTAGGTGAAAGCCTGCTATCTCACAATGCGTGTTGTCGCGCTTTGGTTTACGAAATCCAGTAATATATCTGGCCGTTTAACTCCCAACTTCGAATAGTCAAATGCAGATCTGTTCCACTCTGGAGCGAACCCGTGACCAGTTTTTTGCACTTGAATGATCCTTCTCCCATATCAGTCTCAGCCAGAAACCGAAACTGTGGCACTCTTTTTCACGTAGACCACCTAGGTTAAGTTATATAATTTATTAAGACTGCGATACTTGTAGCGCTTGGTCGACTTCGGAGCTGCTTTGCTTCAGGCTTCCCCTATAGCCCCAATTGCCGTTTATACGGAAACCAGACGACTAGATTGGTAACAGGTATGCCATCAACGTGCTGTGGTGGGGGGTTGTGCTCAGTATAGGATAAAATTTGGTTGTCAGTTTTAGCAAAGCTATAGTGTTGTGAACCGTCTTTTTTCCCCTATTTTCTTCCAGATTCCGTTGTGGTTGACGCGTGCAGTGAGTGCTCAGTTGGAGGACGCTACGCTGTTCCTTGATACTTCCCAGGTAAATGCAGTTTGGTTTGGGTCGCGTATTTTGTTGGGTTCAGTTCTTGCTATGGAGTTAATTCTCATTCGAATCACTACTTGTTTCTACGTTCTATCACACCTATTAAATTTTGGACGCATTTGAATACCCATCTGCAGTTCCCGTGATCTTGTGTTGCTGGTATTATGTTTTCATCCTTTGAGCGATAATCCAAGGGGGACCGTTAAATGACTGACTAAATATACGCTAATCGGCATCCTTCTTTTCTTCATACCGGTTTTATTCCGAGTTCATTTATCTTACTGTTAGGCCTGTATACTTCCAATTATCAACCTCGATTTTCCTCATTTCCCGGCCCTTCATTCTGTCACTTTCCTGACTACTGCTCCCTCCTAAGTAAATGCCATGATTGCAGTGGAACAGTGGAACCGATTTGTTTGTTGTGAACTCCCTGTCAACCGCCACTACTCCAGTAAGTATGGAATTTCTTAGGCTGTTCACTGGCCCCATGTAGTTTTGAGACACTGTCATTTATGCGTTTATTCTAAGGTGACGTATACACAGTGGTGTGCGAGAAAACCAGAGTGAAACAACCACGGGTGAGGTGTGTACTTTCCCCCTAAGTCAGTGACCCACGACAGGAAGAGCTTAATATCCTGGTGAACACCAGCGTGCGGTGTACTTGCTGTTAGTCCAAAGGATAGAAACTGATATAGACGAGAGATACACTTGGAATCGGATGCTCTATTCTCATTCCAAATTGGAACAGTTCTAGACCTTCATCTTACGAAAGACTTTTGTGTAGAACCTCTGTGGAACTTCTCTACGGATGTACTTCCGAAACCAACTTATTCAGGTGGTGCTTCTTGGTGGCCTGTAAGTGCGGTTTGAAAAGTGCGCTGCCTAGTTGAAGCCAGTAATAAGTTTTTAGGGAACTTATGCGAACCACATCATTACTTTATGGTGGTGGACGGTGTCTTGAAATCTTGCGTGACTGCCCGCATACATACCCAGTAAGTCTGACAATTAGTGGATAAGGTTTTATATGTTGGTGGATAGTGAACCAAAGACTCTACGCACCATACATACGTGCCATACATGTAATTTCTCATAACTCCTTATCTTACCGGCGTACTGCAGCTGTGGATGAGGACCATGGTAGGAATATGGATGTGGTACCAACGTTTCGCGGAGAACGCATTTTCGACGTGGTTGATCAGATTATATTATGTGCGCAGTTTTGCTGGATAGCGCAGATCATTCGATCTGAAACCCACCAACATGTAACGACTCAAATTTCAGGGGGGGGGGGTAAACTTCAACCTGATGTTTGCGTGGAAGACTCTTGAGGGTCTTTTTTTCTTTGGAGTCTTCACTGTTCTTCTTACCGATTGTCAAAAGTGTACGTTTGGATATGAAGTGTGTAGAACGTTTCCTGCAGTCATGCCTCCAAGCACGGAGTCTTGTTTTACTGTATGATTACTTGTCAAGTGGGTCTACACCTGTTGCTTAGCACCCTCCGTGGCCTGTAAGAATTAGTCCAGGCATTCCAAATACCACACCAACAATATCAGTGTCAAATAAGTCCACCTAGGCCTGAATGTGATGAAGGATCAAGGGCTTTCTCATTTGTCTTCCAGTTGGGTTTTGCAAAGATATCATGATCCGTCTTCGTGACAACTTCATTGATATTCAAATTTCGACCGCCCTTTCCCATTGTCCAGCTGTTATGGTAGAATAGTTACAGCTAACCTACTTTTCTGGAAATGACTTGCAACACATTCAAGCAGCCTGTTTGTGTGCAGTCGGTTCAATGGATAATCAAAGTCCAGCGCATAATTTTCGAATGACAGCAGACTTTCGGATTACCTTGGTGTTATTTTTTTGCTAGATCCTCACACTAGTCGGGTGGGAATAAAATATGGGAGAGGAACGGAGTGTGCCAAGTGACACCGAGCAGTTTCCAGATTACCAATCTGATGTACATTGTGGGACCTACTGTGGTATAGATAGGCCTTCTCATGTTGTTCCCCACTTTCATCTGATGTCTCCCTGCTGGATGTGGGCATAGATACCGCTGATCCGCCTGACCTTGAACACCAGGATGATTGCGTTCTTTAATACAAGATGGCCTAAATGCGCAGAAAGCATCACAGGTGTTGTCGGCGTGAAGCTGTCGCAGCAGTCCATTTTCAAGGCGCAAGTCACCAAAACTGTTCCAATTCGCCAGGGTACGCTAATTGTCCCACCACGGAGGGGTCCATTCTCTTCACCATTTATCCGTTTGGTTAAGCATCTGTATTTCCTCTTCTGAGCTGTTGCTTCCTTCCATCACCATACTGTCGTTCCTCACATCTCCGTTCAACTCCGATGGGTTTCGACTCAAAATTTACTACGGCTTTACCTCCTGTGTTCCTTGTTTTTTCTCAGTGGCATAGTCCTGAAGAGTACAAGGGCATGGATCTCAAGTTCAGCAATCCAACTGAAGCTAAGTTGGTCGTCTTTCTCCTGAATTCATTGATAATGGTATGCCTTTCTTTCTTTATCTGTACAGCCTTTCATGCTGATTGTTCTTCGGTGTTTGCCACAATGTTTGTATGTTAGGTCGTGCCACGCGGTATTTTGAAAACCGGTCTCATGTATCACCTTGTTTTCTTACAGCGTGGATTGCGTCCCGAAGACGTCGGTGTTATTTCTCCTCATCGAAGCCAAGTAGGACTATTGCGACGTCTGCTCACTGAAACTCCTATTTCTAATCCTGGGGACTCAGTCCTGTCAGACGTGGAAGTAAACACAGTCGATCAGTTTCAGGGTCGTGATAAACGAGCAGTGATTCTATCTCTCACAGTGTGTACACATGGTCGAGTACAAACAAGCACCTCTTCTGATGTAAGTGAATGCATCATTACCTGCTTTGCACCACGTTTCTGTTCGCAAAAGAATGTTGCAGTGGCGTCGCCTTTGAAACTGCGGTACTTTTTATCTACTTCGGCCTTTTACCGCCTGATTTTATCCTGCTTGCTTCCCCGCCTGATTTTTCTGTAAGCCACCTCCACAAAAGTTATTAGTTGCTAGAACGATCTTTGAGGAATCACTGTTTGAATACATTTTATTAACGTAAACAGCTTTGAAAGGATATCTTTCAGCTTGAAGTTTATAAATTTGTACTGAGTTTCACCTGCCGAAGATGATTCACGTACTCTTCAAGCAGTGATCAACTGGAGCCATGCGTAACAAATTCCTTCCACAGGAGGCTCTTATTATTACAGTTAATGGCTGTCTAGTCCTTGAGGAGTGTTGGTAGTTTAGATAGCACAGATGGTCGTTCGGTCGTTCGCTTAGCTAGACAAGTTGGTTGCGAACTTTTGATCATTAATCAAGGTGACGTCATCAGCTAATCTCTGTCATTGTTGGTCAGTAGCGCTTATATTGCCACTCGCACAACTACACAACGCTCATCTCCACACAGACGCACCGATGTTGTTACCTCGATTGGTGATGTAACATTTGCGAAGTTGCCTAACCCAGAGAATGAACTAACAACCAACTGTCTTGCCCTTTCATTCGTAGACGCTATAGAAACTCTAAAATGTTCCTTTTTGTCAAGAAAGACATGTATGCCATCGTCATGTAGTGTTGTTTTTCGTGTTTCTATCCTCTAGGGACCTGGCAAACATTCTCGGACTGCTCTTCTAGAGGACTCTGCCAGACTTACCGTCGCCCTAACGAGAGCGAAACACAAGCTGCTCATCATTGGGTGCTCGGGTTTGGAAAATGGGGCTTCAGTACCTTCGCCCACAAACAGTGGAACTTTGAGCAAACTGTTTACTCTGATGCATAACGTCAGTAGCTGGGAGGTTCTTGACCCGAAAGACCATTCCATTCTCGAGGATTTCAAGTTTTCATAGCCCTGAATCCCACTGACAGAAAATTTTATGCTGCTATTTATGTATATTTTTCCAAAAAGTTTTTTATGTATCCCAGATTAGATCGTTGCGTGATTTGATGTGTTCGTTCTTTTATTTTCTGAAACAAATGCCGTTTAATGTCGTTTTTATCATTATGGGTGCTCCTTTTCATTGTCAAACGAGTCAGCCCAGCGGTCTTCCGTATGGCGTTCCAAATGCAAGAGCCACCATCGTAAATTCGCGTACATCCAAGCCGTTTACGTTTTTCCTGTTCACTTCTTTCCCTGAGGTGTTGTTGCTGCTGTCGCGACATTCACCAGCTGCTGCTGCCTTTTTGTGTTTACAACGGCCTACTTACGGTTTTATCGCGTTTGTTATCCCGAACGTAATGGTGGAAGGATTTTTTTTAACTAACTATAGACTAAGCCACTATGGTCTCTCCACATGAAACATATAGTCAGATGTTCACTACATTGGCGTGGGACTTAGTCCACTCTAAATCCACAATCGGTCGAACAGAATTATGGACTGTCAGGTGCAAAGTCTAGCCTAGTCCCGGAGGTACATATCTTTAATCAATCATAGTCACGCGGAACTTAGTTGGTGCGGAAACGCATCGCTTGGTTGTCCGAAGTCGCCGCATGTTGATTGGCTCTTTCGTATTTTCATGCTATGTCCACTCATGGAGAAGGACTTATGCCCTTAGCGCTGGTTCAGTAGGACTACAAGTCACGGAATGACCGGAATGAAATATCGGCAAGCGCTCTACCTTGGGGTAAACTGAGCCACAAGCGCGGAACACTTCGCCACCGGTCTCTCCCACTCTAGTTGCATTTTGCCAACGATTAATCTACCATGGGAAACTTATTTTAATCTGTCCATTTCGTTTGTACCGCAGTTTTTCATCCGAAAGCGAGGTGAAATCTGGTCGTATAACTCCTGTGAAGTTTGAATCCGTGTTGAAGTGTCTCTGGGAGGCTCCATATCAGTAAAGCCAAAACAGCGTTCCCTAGCGGTAGATACCGCTTCGTCGTAAGGTTCAATTGGAAGAAACGAAGTCTCTAACATGGTTACTGTTTAGCATGAGGCAATGCCCCTGCTTCATGTTCAAGGCGATCCCTACCGCGGTGCCTCAGACGAGCAGGGTACGACAGGGGGATTTTGATGAACTTTAACCAGGTCGCTTCCCTACCTTTCACCTTACTCCGTCCGTATGGGAGGTTCAGTGGACGGGTGAAACCCATGGAGTTATGGAAAGTAACAAGACACTGGGAGAGGCACCCAGCCCAGAGATGTCAGAACCCGTCGCAAACCGATGTTAGTAACCGAGGCATCAGGTAAGCATTTCCGAAAAAAGACTGGCTTGTCGAGTAAACCAGCCGCTTCCTAACTGGAACGAACAAAATGTGTTCCGGCATCGCAAAGATGCCTGGAGATGTCACCTGCTGGGACAAAACTTCCACACCGAGGTCAACTACAAACTTTTCGAATTGATTGGGACCAGAAGCTCTCAGAAAAATCGTACGGGACGCTGTGACTACAAGGCCAGGCTTCTACAAACCATAGAATGAGAATCATACGGCTGTCCGGCTGTCAAGTCCCGAAATTGAGGACGATGAAGCATCAGATACGTGCTAAGCATTCATTTGCAAACTGGGCTCTCGGGTTCAACTGCGGTCTACCAAACTATGGGTTCGATAGGGCTTATCTCCCCGAACATGGCCTGAATGGTCCAAGTTGGGTGGGACTCCCTGTTGGGGGCAGCACGCATTATTGACTGTATAGACAAATAATAAGTACCTACCTTCAACCTGTCAATAATAGGATGAAACACAAGTTAGCGCAGTGGAATTTCGGCTATGACTCGTATGACCTGCAAACTTGGAAACATCTATAAGGATCCTTCATGTCTCGTTTGGTCAGTAAATTGGTTTGCGGTTCATTGTGCAGGTTTTCTCAAATAAACTGTGAGAGGAGAGACAAAATGCACAGGAAAAATTGAAACCCTTCATTGGAACGAATCAATAGAGAACTACTGTCGGGAAAATTGGACCATTTGTCGAAGACATGGAACTCAAATGAAGAGAATATAGAATCTCGGGGGATAGTGGATTAAGGGGAGAAACTTGTTTAAAGACCGTTTTTTCATTACTCGTCGAGAAGGCTTCAGAACAGTTTAAAGTATCCCGAGGATCAGGACAGGTGAATAGAAGCCAGCTCAGCAGGTGTCTAGATAATTCGTCAATAGATATCCACAACAAAGTGTCTTTATGGCGTTCAGCTGTAGCACCCTTTCGGTGCCTAGCTGCTATGCCACCCGAAGGAAGCACGAAGGCTAGGATACTGCCAGGCTTCCCAAGCCGAGACAGGGGAAGTCGAGAGGCGGAGGTCAGACTCGAACCACGGATCTTCCGGTCGGTAAATTCGCGCTCTTACCACTTGGACCATCTTTATGGGATCAAATGAATAATAATGACCTGTATGTCTACTCCCAATAGCAGCAACAGTCAATCGGTCGCTTTGTTTGGATTTACTGACTTGCTTGATAGCATTAACTTCTTAATACCAGTCGTTAAGGCAATGGTCACGAACGTGTCTGACTTAATCCAAAGTCGATACGGTAGCTATGTATAGTGATACCTCAAGAAAAACCCTTTATGAGGGAGCAGCTGCAACGGGTCTCTTCATTTACGAGTAATGTGAAAGACCAAAGGTTTCCTTTGCAGGAAAGACCAGAATATCCCATTCGTTATCTCGGATGGAGTTACTTTATTGTTAAACGTGGAATAGGTTAACGTTAGAACTAATAAATACCTAGTTCGTTTTTCATCCCGCGACTGAGGTATATCCATGAACACAGTTCGTGATCAGAACCGGGAGGTTGCCTTCGGGTTTCTCAAGATTTGAGAGAATAACCTTTAGCCGTCGCTTCCGGGAAAGCGGAATGATTCACTATCCCAAATCTGACTACTGATAAATGTTTGAGGGGGACCTCATTTTCGCAGATTGTTATGGGGAATAGTTGGGTGAAAAGTTTGCTTGTGTAGCGCCAAAACAGCAATTATTCCCTGGCTGGTAATCGAAAGTAGTTTTAAGCAATCAAACCGGATCTTGCAAGTATGTTTCTGTAGGTTGACGCGAATAAAACCCCACTCATATCATTGCGGGAAGGCGCAGAAGAGATGATGTGAGTCAAGTGACTTGTTTCCGGTAATGCGGCGAACAGATCAACAACCAAATGACTTGTTTATATTTAATTTGAGCTGCTGCATAATGGTGCTAAACGGCAAAGCTGATACTTGATGACCTGGGACATGCCTGTTCGCTCATGGCGTGTCATGCACTCAAGTTGACAACCTCTAGTCCTTGCTGCAGTCGTGCGAACGTCCGTCCTTCGCTGGGTTACGGGTCAAATCATTAAATTTTCATTACGACTAGCTACTGCAGCTTGCCTTCGTGGTAAGGTGCTGACACGTTTGGTATGAGATCTGGATATGGCGATTTGGATGACGACAGAAAGACGCTCTCTTAGGGTGCAATGAAACATTTCCTTGAAAGTGTTTTCACCTACCGATTTGGGGGGGGGGGTTTTCATTACGACTAGCTACTGCAGCTTGCCTTCGTGGTAAGGTGCTGACACGTTTGGTATGAGATCTGGATATGGCGATTTGGATGACGACAGAAAGACGCTCTCTTAGGGTGCAATGAAACATTTCCTTGAAAGTTTTCACCTACCGATTTAAGGGGGGGGGTATATTCCGAATGTTCATATGTTCTATATTCACTGAAAACTAATAGAAACACCCGATGATTGGAGTGAGCCGGACAATTAAATTGACTTCGGTGCACTTGAAATGAGGTTGTAATGGAATACTGTTTGGCCCCTGAATTAAATATCATACATTACTCGAAAGACATGCCCCTCGCAGATATATTCAAACTTGCGTTCTGTTCTGTGGCAATCGTCCGCTTTGTTCTGTTTCACCGTGTCGGAAACTGTGCCATCAACCCGACCAACAACGTCGATCCGGTCGTTGTTTGTGACTTGAGGGCTGCAATGTTTCCGCTGGTTACACCGTATGGATCTTCGTTCCACAAGATTTAACAATGTCACGAAGATAAAAATGGAGCAGCTAGACACATGATAGCGAGCTCTTTACGACGAGCGATCATGGTAAAGTTGTGATGTCCTCTGGGGCAGGTGTCAAGACAGTTTTCTGCCGGCGAGCAGCATCTCAAAATGAAGCAAGTGTCAGAAAAAGTCTAATGTAGTATTCGCACATCGGTCATTCATTGTTATCGTGGCCGCAGAAAAATTATCCGGTGAAGTTGAAGGACGCTTAGAATTCACCAAAGCCAGACATACCTCCACACGCAGTGGCACCAGAACGCCTTACCCTATGAGCTCAGTCTAGGCCAGCCCCTGCAACCAGGCTAATCAGATCTTGAGACATTTGCTCTGGACAAGATCCCCTCTAGTGAGCTTTCCTACCCGCAATCTTGTGAATCATACTCAAGTCAAATTCTGCGGTCAAGGTTACGGACAAAAACCTTCATTTCTTGCGTATAAGGCTTCCGAATCGAAGGCTCTAGTGAAGCGCTCTAACCAAACCCTTATACTCGGTTTGCACAACCAAGAAACATGATTCCACCCTATAGTTCTCTGTTTACCACACATGCACCCCCCTCTGCAACCCTGAGCTGGTCCACTACGATTAATTTAGGTGTCAGATTCCTAACCACTGCTCTGTGTTCAAACTGTCGCCCATTAAAAGTAGTCCTAATAACCTTCACTTGACCCAAAAGGTCTGATCCAAGTCGTAGCTGTCAATGTTAAGATGCATGAAAAGTACCGCTTTTTGAAACTTTGTCTGCCATTCGTACCAATGATTTTTGTGTTCGCGGAATATTTATGACATGGCTTAGTTCTGTCGTGCACCACAGATCGCTTCGGAAAAGCTCAGATGTTCCATATTTTAATTTCTTGATGCATTGACATGGAAGTCGCAGTCTCTCCGAGGGGTGAAAGAGTTTTTGGATTCCATTAACTATTGGTCTTTGTACTGTGCGGTTGTCCATTTCGGTTAAAAACATTACAAATCTGTTTACTTTATAACGTCTGCCGTTTGAACATACGCTTCAAAGGACTGCGGATGCATTTTGTCGAGTCACGACTGATTCAGTCAGCTATAAAGACGAATACTGACGGGCGATATGAACGTGCAAGTTGGATGACCAAGCCTGTTGGGTGATAGAGTCGGAGTCGACGTTTACGGCGCAGATAATTGGAAACGGATTTTGTAGTTGTGTGAGCCGTCTACTCCTACCTAGTACGAAACTTCAGTCCAAGCTCCCACACCGTGTTACTTGAAGGCAATCAATCACGAACCGTTTGAGGACTCAGCCATCAACTACCGTTGGAGATCTCCAAACATTCCTTTAGGAACGCGTGAAGTGACTCTGACCATATCATTATCCAGGCTTACCTATCAATCGGCTTTCCATCTGGATCAAGCAGGCCGGTTCAGGGCCACTCAATTCAACTCCAGTGGGCTTCTCTATTCTCACATGTTGAGCTGGGCTGACTGGATACCAACTGGAAATACGCAATCACTCTGTTGATGAAAATTGTTTAGGGATGAATGGGAGGAACTGTAAGAATCTATGCTTTCATCGTTCTGGACTGTCTGCCCAAGGCGTCCGACCCGACTAAATAAACAGTGGACTTTATTAATATTAGAAAACCATACTGACAGCTGATGACCACGGTGGCACCAGAAATCCGGGTAATCGAAGGTCTAGAAAATGACGGAAAGAGCTGGGAAGACAAAAAGATTCAAGAAATGGAGGCGACCGTTTTTACAGGCGACAATTGCCCTCTATTTCAGCTTATTAGAACGAATGGTCGAAGGAGACGGGCGTCAGCAAAGCCATTTGAGAAAAACCTGAATCTCAGAATCACCACGTCGAACAATATGTTCTACACCTCAAACAACGTTCGAGTTGCCTTTCTCCAGGACAATCTCTGGAAGAACCTAATGAACCTGAATGTCACGTGAATGCCAGACTTTCATCGAAAGGAGAAACCCAGCGTGAAATAACCCTCCTTCATTGCGACAAGGCACTTAGTCCGGACGGTTTGAACTCTGCGATTCTGAAAAGTGGTAAAGCCCTGGCGAGCAGTTTGACGCCCCTGTTGGAAACTATTCGGAACGACCTGATGATATCGGTGGATTAGAACTTTTCAATGGTTATTCACACCCTCAAAAAATGCACAGGAGCATCAAGTGAAGACCATTGTGACACCAACCTAGTAGCCGTATCACCAAGGATCATGTCTAGTGTCATCTTGTGCAGGTAGGCCATTATCAGGAGAACGTAGTTCGTGAGAATCAAGCTAGATTGCACTTTACCTGAGGATGGATTGTTGATATCCTTACTTTTCGATAGTTGGTGTTTCACACTCTGATGTTCATCTTCACTGATCTGGAAGCTGCGTTTGAATCTTTGGGTTGTCAGTAATGGGCAGTCTACTGATCAACCTTGTCTCCCAAATAATCGCCACTAGTGGGGGCAGTGTATGCGAGTAATCACAGTGCGTACTTCAGTTTTCGCCTGAGTTCATCACCTACCTCCTTATCTCTGCTAATCATGTGTTATTTGAACCTTAGCTGCATACCTCTGGAATCGAGACGGCCTTCCAATTGTAGAAGGCAGGAGTAGCTCTTTTCAACATTTATTTCGTGTGGTATTGGCATGTCTGTGAAGCTTGGACTATACACTTCGGCAGTGTGATCAATCCTGGTCCAATACATCATAATCGTGGTCCCCACTCTCAGAAGACGTACGAAATCTCCCAATGTTTGACTACTGAGGACTCCGAAGCATTGGTCTGGTGATGTGGGAAAATCTGCTTGACAGTGCTGGTGTGCTCCATATGGTTTAAAGAGGGAAATCTCCTGCGCGCTATGCTATTCAGCTGAAGGTTGGTTATCAGCGGTGAAATTAACTTGCACTGAATACTGATCGGAAGGCCATGGGCTCAAATCACACTAGATACTCGTGGAATGCGTACTGCTGATGATTCGCAATAAAGCTAAAACAATTGCATGGCGCTTCAATGCATTTCAAATGCAGGATGACATCTCAGTTAGACCTTCAAGATTTTCACAGCAAAAGCCTTTGGACGCCGGCATCAGAACATAGTGTCATCCTCTGACTTTAGCGGCGGACATGTATCGTCGATCGTGAGGTAACATGCCTCAGTCATTTACTACGAAACTTAATCTACCCTGCGTTTTTTAATGTCCAACACGGCGTTGTTGTCGTCGACATGCGAGTACACTAGTCTGCGGATCTTTCAACTAAGCTCTGCTCCAGTCTCGTGAGATGTGACTTGAAAATAACGCCTTCGGTTTTCCGACAAATGTAAATGGCCAGGATCCGAAGTCTGTTGGTTGAATCTGCGTACATTCTGACACCGAGTAAGTATCTCGCCAATGAAACGAAGAAAAAAATTTGCCCCTCATTTTAGGTGCCTCATTGTTGGACTCTCCCTCTACACGGACCATCTTCGACATAAGCTAATTCTTAGGAGAGACTACTTGCGCTGAGTCTCTGGACGTTTTCCCCGAAAGTTATCACTCCTTAAGAAGGGACTGCTTTCGGTGGAAGGTCGGAGGGAGAAATATACGAGATGGGTCTATTTCAGTCTGACTCAACCCAAAAGTGACATATTAGCTAAGCCCAATTCAGCGATTTCGTCGTTTCCCTCGCTCCTAAGCAACACCCCTTGAAAACACAAAATGTGATATAAGCTTATGAATGTTATGAATGTTATCAACAACGCTTGTGGACCTACTTGCCTTATATTCTGGAGCGCATTGAATCTGATGGGCTGACACGATAAAGTTGTGGTGTCTGCTTGACAAAATGTGCCTCTGATGAGAGCATGCATAAAAACATCTGACTTCCAGCTAAGAATCTTTACAATGAGATCATGCACACGTTTCTGCTCAGAGGCAGTTCTGCTGTGAATTGACAGCTTATCAACGGTAATATTCTAAGCTTCACCTTGGCGACTACTCGTGGACAATATGGATGGTCTTTATAGAGATTTCCTCTTAAATTGCATGTCCTGTGAGAGGTAGGTGGAATTCCATTGCGCTTCCGTGTATCGTATCACTGACAAATTTGAAGTAGGTACTTATTACTTGGTCACATAATCAGTAACACATCCTGCCCACAACAGGGACCCCCATCCATAGTTAGGCTATGCCTATTGCATAGTATTTGTTCGGGGAGATAGGTAATATCAAACCCGTAGTTTAGTGGACTGCAGCTGAAATTAACAGCCCAATTTGCTGACTGTGTGCACACGTTCTTTCTTTGCGTCGTGAGAAATACAGTCAGCGCCGTTTGTAAGTTAGTCTTAGCAACTTTTTTGGGTGATACTTATTTTCCACTCTGCAGCCAAAATAACAAAAAATTATTTATTATGATGTTCATCGTAAAACCTTGCAATTTATTAGACTCCAAGGTGAACATTATGTAGCACTGTAAAAGAAGATGAGAGAAACCGATGTATCAACCACAAAGTTATAACGCAAATTTGGAAAACAAGGTATCCATTGCATTCACATCGACCACAGTGGATAGAACATTGGGAGTGTTTTCGATCTCCCATACGTTTACCACGCTGTTTTCATCACCCGTCGCCAGCAGCGTGGGGCTAAAAATGGATTGATGACGATTAGTGCTTGCAACGATCACCTACTTTTTTGTGTTAAATGCCAATGATATCTTTGGCACCGGACATTTAGTCTCCATTGTAGCCACTATATCCGTTTCGAACAGCAGCTTGGGCTCCATCTCGGAAATTTCTCCGGAGTCATTTTGGTCATTATTTCCCAGAAGACTGTACAGAGCGACTGAACCAGTTCCTGTTGTGCATGCTAGCACATTTGGAAAGTAAGGAGAGAACTTCGCTGCCACAAACTTCCCTCGTGTTGGATCAACGTCCACTGATAAGTCCCGCTGGAGCACGTTGTGAATCTACACAATCGAAGGAAACGTGTGAATCTGCCAAAGCTATCTGACGGGTGTTAGTCTCAGCAAAAGCGAACGGCATTTACGGCGGTAAGCATGAAGTAAAAGATTCCGATGAACGCCAGAATTTCTGGTGTCACTCACTTGTAGTGATGATCCGATCCCACACGACAGAACCAAGTTACGATAGAATTTGGACCAGTCCACAGAACAAATTGGCCCATTTTGCCGCCTGAGGGAAAATTCCACCGGGGATGGAAGGTCGGTGCTCAAATCTGTTTGACAAAATGACAAGAACCTGCAAAATTAGCTGAATGGTGTGCGACTGCATAACGTACTATTGTGAGAAATTGTCCGTTGACACTATGTATCTAAAGCTATCTTCCAGCCATCTTTAAGAAGTTTTAGGAGACTTTTGCACAAAAGCCAAGGAATTGGCCTTTATCTATTACCCAAAAGCAAAAACTTATGGAATTACTAGCTAAACGTTCATCTTACGCTCAGTTATCATACGGCTGTTGTATAATGGAATGAACGGTTGAGCCATCACTTGTCATAATCCGTAGTTACATGGCTTTACTTCCGAGCTGAATAGTCCTAAGGTTCTCCCATTACTTCATCCAATTTGATGAACTGACATTATTCTGAGCCACATCACAACAGGGATGGGACGCCACTTGTCTACTAGAATGGTACATGAACAGGAATTCATGGTTTTGACAAATGCACTCATTTGCAGGTCGATTTGGTTTTCACGGGAGACTCAAGTGAATCTCTTGTTTATGATGCTCAGAAATCTCGTGAGTAGTTTCCTTTGGGAATTTATGGTCTTCTATTCAGCACTTGAAAAGTAAATTAAAAGTGTTTGGGATAAAGGCAATGCAACGTATGATGATGCGAAATTACCTCCCCCAAGGAACCTCCTCTCCATTGAGAGGGCTAGTCCGCGGCATTAATTTTCGACTGCGACTGCCATTTGAGGAAGAATCAGTTTGTGGCTGTTTGATCAGTAGCTCTCCAAACAGAACAATGGAAATGTTCCGTGCCAGTGAACTACATTTCGCAGATGGCTCCCTCTCAAGAAGTTTATGTCACACACAAGACCCAACATTAGTGAAATCTTTGTCCTAACTTGACTTGAATCAACCAACAGCGTGGTCACACAGCAACACGCGTTTGGGCATTCAGCAGGTAAACCGCCAATAGAAGGCAATAAAACTGAAGTGTAAGGTGAAATAATACATGGCAGCACAGTATCCCTAGGATTCCCAATAATCACAATTGTTTAGTCCCTATATAAGAATACGTCCTCCTGACTATTCGGTGATTCATATTCAAGTTAAGCTAGGCAAGAAATCTCTGGATTTCCTTATGACATTAGAAAGCCATCATACGGGGTTGCCATGTCATCGTAATACACATGGGTGTCAGTGTCTAAGCCCGCTGGGTATCTTGAGCATTCACTTCAGACGAAGTAAACAAATTTTGTCGTTTTTTCATTAAGGCTTACAAAATTTGCTACCTTAACTCGGAACGCGTGTGATACGGTCCTTAGTAGTCACTATATGACAAAGAAACAGTTCCGTCGGTGAAAATCTCGTAAACTATACTAAGGTGTTCTTTCATGAGCGAGGTAATCACCCACATGTTTTTCTCTGAAGCGCTTCTCTTTGGTAGTTGGCTTGTTCACTGAGCTGGGCTATTAGATTGCAAACGTTTCATCACTAATTGAGGTGGCATCGTCAGTGAGTTACTGAGGAGCGTAGTGGTGCGTATCGGTAGTTTACTGGTTGTGCTTGCCACTACGCTCCCCAATAATGCACTAATAATGCCACCTCATTGGTGATGAAACGTTCGTGATCAAATTGCCCTGCTCAGTCAACAAGCCAACGATCATCTACTCTACCTGAGCTACCAACATTTTCCTCTATAGAAAACACTTCTCTTTACAGCATACTTACCCAGTGAACCTGCAGAACCTGGATAATCCAAATTGCACAACATTATTCCACCGCTGTCCGTACCAATCACAAGCCGATTCGGTTGATCTGGGCACAAGGCTACTGATGTCAGACTTACAGCTCTTTTACTATGAGTACTGTTCGTAGTATGACGTATCTTGTCTGAAGGAATGTCCGGGGATGCTGGCACTACTCCTTGATCGCGGATTTTAATGCCGAAGCTGTCAAGCAATTTTCAAAAGGACATGTAATGTGAATTCATGAACAATGAGTTTTCATTTACCTGGAGAAAATCGAAAGTCAAAGTTGGGAAACTGGGCATTAAGTTTTCCATCACCAGAGGACGGGTCCACCAGCCGAAGACACTGCCCGTATGACACATATGTAATTCGTCACCTCGTTGTCCAATGAATCAAACTTCAATAGTGAGTCCCTTTGCTGATTCCCACAATGGACTAAATTTTGACATTATTCAGGTGTGTAAAAGTCAATGGTCTGAATCACTGAAGATAAAACAATGATGTGGCGAATATTTGCCCTGAAATTTTACTGTCGTTCCCAACCTGTATGTCTGCGTTTCCAAGTCAAGATTCGCCAAATCCATCTGATTTCATCAGACCTCCACTATTCCATTTCAGGGTAATATTTCCAGTACTGCACAGTATATCAGGTGCGTTTGCAATCAACTGAGTGAGACTAATCTCATTATATTTTCAAGTCAACTTCCTTGTCACCAAAGTAAATACCCAGTGTGGGTACTTTCCTTGTTCCATGATCTCCTGCTTTGTCTGATGGTGTGAACCTGTTGCCTAGGCTAGTCAGAGCTCTGGAAAACGACATATTTACAAGGGACGTCGCTAGAATATGGGTAGTGATAATTTGGGTACAATCAAATCACAACAGAATCCATAGAATGATGCTGTAGCAAAACGATGCGCTAGGTTCTTAGGACAGTCCATCCGTTACACTTCTCTTTATTAGGATTAGATGAGTACCGCGGGATGTAACATGTAGAGCGTTTTTCTAACGCTTCCAGCTGACACAAAACGATGGATTCACAAATGTAACCAAAACTATTCATATCTGGCCTAGCCTGAGACCGGACAGTGCTTTACATGTACGCGATCCAACCCATCTCAAATATATCTTCGTTTATATCTCACAGCCAAATTAGCCCTTTTTATAACTCACATTTTTGAACATCTCAGTGTAGAACGCCGGTGGGCATCAATTGTCCAGCAAATGACTTTCCCCTCGTTTCCGATGGTGAGGAATCTTTCCACCGCGTATCGTTTTGAATCACTATTACCGCTGTTAGTTGCCCGGGTATCGATTAGCCATTCGATCTGCGTGACTCCCTCCGTGTGTCCAGCTTCGTTACATCCGTTCATAGCAATCAAGCAATCCGTTTCGGCGGTGGTATTATACACTAGTATTTCACCTGAAACACAAAGAATCAATTGTTACTGGTGCTCTTTAGTCATCCTGATGGTAATTTATTCTAATACTCCACCCACCATGCCTAACCAAGTTTGCCCCTGCTGGGACAGATCCTCACATATCAAGTCATATTTTCATAGGAGAGCCGAATGAACTTTTGAGTAACTGTCAAGTTTTGCCGTACATTTGTTACCCCAATGGAGATCCCATCCAGCGACTAAAGTTATTTTATGCTGGAAACCTGAGAATCACTGCACAACCGTTTTGTCCTTGCTTGTAATCGCCGGCATTCTTCATCTCGTGGATCTTTATAACAAGCCGAACCCGTGATCTTCCGGTTTGTAGTTGAGTTCTGAGTCATTCGGCCACAATCGGCTGGTCAGCAGCTCAAAGCAATTTCATTTAGACCGAATATAACGCCAATCTGTCCTTTCTGTCTGATTTTGTTCTAACTATAAATATGGCTCAATGGACACCAAACTGGGATGCCACCCGTGACCGAAATAACCGACTTCTTCACGAAACCCCGTTAAATAAAGCTGGAATTCGGTGACCATCCGTAATCAAATGTGCCTTTGTACTTAATATTACCCGTTTCATCCTCTTTTTAGCTGTTTGATAGGCTATTCTCTAATTCATTTGCGATAAAGTAGCAAACGGAGGCTCCTTGATGAGGCAGTATGAACATACTGGTAGCTTATCAAAACCCTGTAATCGGGGAAAATTTTAGCAGTACCAGCTTTCACCTCATTCCTAATACTGACGTAATGCACAGATCGCTTCTGAAGCCAGATTTTTTTGGGGCTTGTATTATCAGAACAGTCTTGTTGAATATAATTTATGAAGGGTTTAGAAATGTCTTAAAGGCTGGGCTATTTAGCTGGATGACCAGCCATCCAACTGAAATTGCGTCGAGTGATCGAATTCAAAGATTGTGAGGCTACTTATTTATACGAAGAGTTTGGTTGTCAAGCTCATTAAGCAGCATCAAAGCTATCACTGGAAGTGCCAATCTTGGATTTTGAGCATAATGGTTCAAAATGACTAAGCAGAGTTCATTCGGTGTGCCATTCGGTATGGCAAAGTAAGATGAGGAGGTTTGGTTTTGCCCATTATATATTTCATCCTGTAGGTAGAGCCAACCTATGCTGAAAAGCCGAGAAGCGCTGTAAAGCGCTCACGAAATTCAGTGAGTTTCAAACCCACGATCTTCCGGTCGGTGGTTGAACACTTAACCACGAGTGGTTGAACAGCGGTATGACTAGCTCTCATTTAGACAGGACAGAGCACCACTCATCCTTCATTAAAGAAAAGCCACATCGCGTGCTCACCCATTGAATGGCTCTACTGAATGTGACCAAACTTCTCATTGCTGTGAAACAATAAGCAGCTCAGAGGGAGGATAATTACACTGAATTGTGAAACTTCCTTCTGTGAAGCTGTAACTCTGGGAGCCCGTTAATACGTAATCACGTGATGTTTTTCTGTTACTGAGAGATGAGCGGCGCTGTGTCCTAACTGAGAGTTACTCACATTACTGATCAGCCACTCTTGGCCAACCGATTAAGTGCCCTTCAGCTGCTTCCCAAGTAATACCTCGCTTTATAAGCAAACCATTGCCATCGTATAATTAGCGGCTTCATTGTGGAGATTCCCCTAGATTTATGCCTTAATCTGAGGAGGAAAGGCTTGAGGGATCCGCTTAACTCCAGCAGATAATGTTTGTCAAATATGTCCAGTTTGATTCATTCCAGATGCGTGCACAGGGACACACAAAATCATTCTAGCTGATGGAGAACCGCGGGAGCATGTCTCATACTTTATTATTTTGATGTTCACTTATCTGGTGGGGATCCCCGGGCAGCTTGAATTTCACCTGTAAGTGGATCGCTTATCGGCTGTGAACCATTGAACACATTTTTGAAAAGAACAGTCCATCCGTATATGGGATCAAAGCAACAAGACTCACCTGTGAATGTACCTGCTGCTAACAGGGTAGGTATAATCGGATGAAATGCAAGGCATGTTACGCAGGAATTTGTGTCCAGTTTTTGAATTGGACTTCCGCTTTGTGAACGAGCAGCATTCCATAGGGAAATAATCCCATTGTGTGCACACCAGTCGGCATGGTTCAAAGAACCGTAACTTTGTCCGTCAAAGAACCGGGCAACACGAAGAAGCAATATACAGATTAAAAATAGTCACCAACTAGCTTCAGTTTTGGACGCTTTGTTATTCCTTGAGAATACGAACTTCGGAACAATAACAGAGGGACGAAATGTTTTGGTCGGATCCTTCTTGATGTAACATGGCTCAAGAAGTTATACGGCCGGGTAACCAGAGATAGCTCAGTGGTTAAGGTGCGAACTTACTGATCGGAAAGTTCGAACCCAACCTCTGCATTTCGACTGCTCATGTCTAGGCTTGGGCAAACTGATAGTGTCTTAGCCCTCGTGATTTCATCGGGTGGCATGGCATCTGGACACAGTGAGTGTCCCAGTTAAACGATTACGATGGTCATAAAAGTGTATAAGGCCCCCAAAATGGATGACACACTTGTGGCACTTCAGAAGCGAACCAATCCACGACGGCTTCTGTTATAATTGTTCAGATTAATGTTTCAACTCCCAGCCTTACAAAATATCCTCCTTGTAGGCAGACAACACTAGGATTTGCAGATTGGTATCCAATATAAATTTAGCTTTCTAAACAATTAAACTCTTAAGTACAAATAACTGGAAATAACTGAGTTGCTTTGAAAAAAATTTTGCGCGGAACTTCCATGCGTTTGGTCTATTTTTTCAATTTTGAAAGTACTTAACCGTTGATACCGGTTTTCGTGGGGTTCATAATCACCGCAGAACGTGTTTCGTTCTTGTCGCTTCACCAATTTTTTGGTTGAATCTGATAAATTTCAGTGGGGTTTTTGAATTCAGTAAATCAAAACTGGCCCAGTGCCTGAGGTGAATTCCCTAATTATGTAGATGAACCAACTGTTGGAAGCGGACTGCATCCGAATCGGTCACAGGTGTAACTGGGATATTCCTGTTAAAGTCTATGCTTCCAACCACGAATCAGATCAGCTCGATTGTGTCATGGTCTGAGGTATTTTGCGGAAGGTAAACAAAGGAATCTCTCTCAACATTCCGTTGCTAGAAAAGGATCGTTATGACTACTTCTGGCCGGTGGATCCCCTTAAGGAGTAAGATCCGTTCAAAAAGCAGCGTACCCGGTCGTTGGACTGCAGAAAATCTCAGGGATTTCCTAACGGAGTTCGCCTCCCAATATTAACAGCACGTAATTCACGCCGAACTCCACCGGTTGTTTCAAAGCTGGTGTTTTGCTTACTTGATGAGTAAGACAGCTTCTGTCTATGTTACTTTCAACCTCACTATTTTAAAAATTTCTGTAGCCAGCCTACTGGAGTCTGCGTTCAATCTCTTCATTAGCTTGGGCCGAATAATGCATAACCAAAGGTGTACTATGACCTGTGGTGCTAACCTCCATTTCTTGCGTAACTACCCCGAAAATTGGCCTGTGAACTGTCACCCTCAGCATCCGCTCCTGCTACAGCCTGAGGTGGTCCAAGGTTACATTTTCGTGCCATATTTTTCCATGCACATTTTGATGATTTCTAAATAAATCACCCAGCTGTAGCACCTTTCCGGTGCCCAGCTGCCATGCTACCTGAAGGAAGTACGAGGGCTAGGATACTGCCAGGTCGACCAAGCCCAATCAGGGGTAGTTGAGAGGCAGATGTCAGGTTCGAACCACGGACATTCCAGTCAGTGAATTCGCGCTCTAACCAGGTGAGCCGTCTCGCCCCTCTGATCTCTGCGTAAACAGCATCCTTATTTGGCTACACAAGCGCAACAAAACGTTACCTGGACTTGAAGAACAGCTTTCTTGTATCCAGCCTCCACCAGATCTCGGCAAACCACTTACCGAATACGTTAGCCTACACATGAATGTGCTCAGATTATCAACATTTGGAGGATGCCTGACACCTGTGTAGTGTTGAGGGGAAAGGGTCCCAAGCTGAGTATTTTTGAAGACAACCTGAGGTGAAGCTCGACATTTATGTAGTAGCGACAAAGTATAGATCCTGGTTAGCAAGTTTTGGGCTGTTTGTAAAGCATTTACATGCTGGCTTGTGCTTCAAAAGTCAGTTCGCCCAAAACTGAAACGCAGCTATTGATGAGTATACCTTTTTCGCATCTTCAAAAGCTGTTTGCTTATTGGTCTTTCTTGCAGGTAAGGCCACTCTTTCGGGAGAGATTCGAATGTGACCTCTCATAAATACAAAATCCAGCTGAAGTTCGGGGGCGAATGCTGGTGGTTGTCTCTCCTTCAGAGTGACTTCCACTGAAGTTTCTGTCTTGGGTGAATTACCGAATCGCGTTTTTTATTCCACCAGTAGGTCACATTTCAATCGGCTGTTCAATACTCCCTGAGTACTATGAAATCACTTTCCAGTTCCCCAGCGTTCCGCATTCTAATTCCTCATTCGAACGGACCATCTTTGATCTGTTCGAAAAAGACAATCATCACAAGGGTAAACGCAGACCCATTACACGGTGCCCTCGAGACCACTTCGTGAGTAGGTTTTGCCACCTAGTTGCTCGCATTGGGAAACTACGTCAAAAGTTATGGTGCCGAACAGTATGGGTACCATCGCCACTGATATTTCGTGTGAAAAATAGTAACATTTTGGGAAGTAAATGATTAATATAGTGGTTCTGTTCGCAGGTTCAGTTTCGTGGCCCTAGGTATACGGTTGCAGAATCTTCTGTTTTAACATTTTTTACATTTAAATACGCAAAGGATACGCTGCCCCTAAAACTGCACCCGTAGAATTCCAGGATAAACATGTAACCGAGAGCTGCGTTAGAATTAGGAAGCTTTTGAAAACCAGGTCACCTCGTGTTTTGCGGCTTCCTCCAAGGGCAGTTGAGCTATCTGCTTCACCAACACTCGATCGGGAACCTCGTCTTGCAGCAATCTAAGAGCTTTGGATCGGATGCTCTTTTTTAGTTCTTCCGTTATAACGGCTTCTGCACGTTTCAGAAAATCTATCATTGCGGCGGACTCTGGTTCTGAATTGGAAGTCGTTTGACTCGGCAACACCATTTCATCCGTCTGACTCTACATCAAGTACTCAAAAGTAGTTTTATCACATACCTGAAAATCTTTCACCCGCCGACTTTGAGATCCGCGGTGAACGATTTTATACGGTTCTGTCTGTATGTTTTGTTCGACAAAATCTCTGTATCAAAAAAGTGAGACGGTTATCTTGCTTTCGACTTTGTCTAATTGCACCAGAAAATAAATACCATCAGATTTTGGGCTAAATAAATAAACCAAGACAGTAAGAGACAGAGAAATCCGGGAACTCTCCATTACACGTGGTATACCTAGGCTAATTTACATGCATATATATTCTTTAGGTTTAGATAAATACTGTTTGGCTGACAACGGGAATAAAGGTGCAGTATCACATTGGCAGTGGCACATGAAAGACGGAAGAAGCATTGCGGAGTTCGGATAGTACCAACGAGATATGGTCACGATGGGGATGTGAAATAAAAAACTATACAAAAGTTCTATTGTATTTTTGTTTCTGAAATCCCTCAGAGTGAGACTCACTTGAAAATGTTAAGGATTAGATGCTCTTTGCAAGGGCAATGAAATACATATCACCGCTATTCAAAGTCACGGCCAAAGTTAACGCATCGGTCTCCTTCGTCTTCTACCTCGTAAAGGAAAACAGATGAGGCTTTGGATCCAGACCGATTCTGTAGAAGTCTCGTATAAGCTAAACGCCATGTTATATGTTCCCTCGCAGCTTCAGTATTCCACTTCGTTAACTTGGCCGCGTTATGAGGTTTTTTCATCGGGTGTGTTGATAATAATAGCTAGACGGTACCAAGTTTCACTCGGACACTTCTTTCTTTAATAGGAGGCATCTGGTTTGCAGTCAAACACTATGACAAGTATTTGTAAATTTCTCAAGCAGTCAAACTCAATAACTTGTAATAAGAACTATTCGGGCGGTTATTATTTCAATTTAGACTATGCTGTTTGTACGGAATGCGGGATATCTTTCAAATTCTGAATATTCGCAACGGATATTGTGACACCTGAAAATAAACCACACCCACTGAGGTTTTCACCGAATAATAGGACAAGCGCTTCGGCGCTGCTGACTGGGGGATCACAAAATTCTTAACCTCTAGTAAAATTCTAAAGGATAGGCAATTTGTGGGGTCTCATACAAACTACGAAAGTGGTTCTTAATAATAGTGAAAATAATTATGGCTAGACAGCATACATATATCGGATAAAATTGTCTGGCATTTTAAATGCCGAGGATGGCCCTTATGAAGTTGATCGTCTACAAGTCTCCAAATAGGTTCTGTCATTGTTAGCTCTTGCTTCCAAACTATACAAGTTGTCATCTTAAGAAATGAACTTTTCACGGCCTGATCCTTACCTACTTTTGTGTTGTTTTGAAATTCAAACTTCATCAATAATCCACATTACCCATAATTACACGCCTACTACCGACACTGATTATTTACTGGTTGGTTGGTTGGAGTGAGACTATCCTTCATCTGTCCCAGTCAATGAATAAATGAAGCTCCGTTTGCAAGCTTGATGGCTGTTGCAGTATGGCTTGGGTGTTTGACACAAACAAGTGCAAAAGCTCGCAAGAAATGCAGCCAATTTTTTCTATGTCCCGCTTGAAAAAACGTTGTCAAGTTTCCGGAAGATAAGACATCTAAATATCAACTGAATAATCCAACCGCGAACTGTTCATGGCCACATTCATTCACAGTTTGTATAAAAAGTATTACGAGCTGGTATCGCGTGCATGCGCTAGCGCTCAACTGTCGGATTTTATGTGTACAAAAGAAATATAAAACTGCCAGTCATTTGTCTTTACGCAAGCCAGATGGCAAGATTTCGGAAAACACTGAGGACTTTTTAAAGCCAGAAGAACTCACATCACAACTAAATAGCTGAGATACCTTCTAAGTCAACTGCACCTACAGAAGTTACTGAAGAAAGCCTTCCTCTTACACCCATACGAGTGACGCCTAGGTGGCGCATGTCTCCGCCTGAGCCAAACCACCAAGGAAGCGGTTGTCAATAAGCCAGATGAACAGGCTACATTAAATTAACGCGTCAGGTGAGTTAAATGTACCGATGCTGTGATGAGGCTAAAGAGATTACAGGAAACCCAACATAATTATTTCAGCTGTTGAACCATGACTGTGTCGAATGCCAGAGAACATTTGTCTCTTAACCCTAGGTCTCCAAATTTCACTCCAAACTACAATAAACATGACAGCAGGTTCTGTTATCCAGAGCGCCTTTTTTTATTAAGCAGAGTTACAGCGATGAAACTTTGACATTGTCGGTTCAAAAAGCAAACGCATAATATAACTGGTAGTATCTAATGACAGGATGTCGCCAAAAGGACTGGGTTCATCTACAAAACAAACAAACATGTGATTATCCCCATGGGCCTTCTCATTCAGGGGAAACTGTGAATTCTAATTTTGGATGGTATCTCTTAAAAGCACTTCGAAGTGCTTTTAAGAGATACCATCCATTAGATGTCCCATTAGATCTAATGTCCACTCAGATGAGTGGTGCTACAAGTTCTGCATTTCTATAACAGTACAGCAAGTGCACAGATCTTCTCAAGTGTGTTTGGTACTTTCTCTTCGAAAGTACCTAATGCAAAAACTACCCTATACATATGGCCCCTGTGAAAATTTGCCCTAGAACAGAGACAGCTGCACATAAAGGAGAGCTCAACTGTTAGTAGCAACTTTCAGGGAGCAGAAACGCTAGTTTATGGCTACTGTTCTAGTTGAGCAGGTTATCACTTCCGAGCTCAGTTGACTGTTGTGCATGTTCAGTCATGGGAATGATTTCTGGCACTGGAATAGTTCTTCCGCAAATTTGCTGCGTCAGATAAGCATATGGCGGTAACTTGCATGCACGCAACTCCATGCACACACTAGTATACAACAGAATCAACACGCAAATAATGATACTGGACTCCAGGCAGGTAGGCAAACTCGCAGTAACGTCAGAAGGACCATTCCTCGAGAAGATGATATTTGGTACAAGCGGAATATTTTCACAGAGAGCTTCACTTCTATAGACTAACTTTTCGTGCGCATCCACAGAATGACAGTCGATGCCTGGCACACATGCGTCCGTGAACATTGTTTATATCTTTTGAAAAAAACACCTTTAAAGGTCATCGGTTAACATGCTCACCGATCACCTCTGTGGTGGGAATTCAGTTCTCTAGCCTTGTATCAGGGAGAATGGGAATTACCCTGCATTCCTCTGTTTGCGGTAATGGACTTAGGCTTACTAGGTTCTCAGCATGAATGTCTGTTCAGTAGTATGTGTTGACACTGCTGTCTCAGCCTCCCTCAGTATTGATGTGTTGATGCGGAAACAACTGATGGCCGTACGCTGGAAGTCGGTTCTGACTTCCATCGTTCAAGTTTTTCCCATATTTTGTCGCTGATTTTTGGTAGCACTCAACAAACATCCTGTTTTTCCGTGTGTGGTTTTATGTTCAAGTTACAAATGGCTCCCAAAACCTTCATCCGACCAGCTGGACGGTTCGAGGTAATGCGAGGTTCTTGGTTTACTTTTTTTCTGAGTGCTGCTAAACCGAGCTCGCCGTGTGGAGTATTCTTCCAAAGTGCATATAAATGAACTGAACTGGCATGCCGGATGGTATTTTTGTGATGAACATGACTGATATTCTATTCATTGCTCTATTCATTACTCTCTTGTTTTAATGTAATGTATGCTGTACATATTCGCCAATTCGAATACATACGTGCTGGTTGTTACGCTTCGCTGAATTCTGGATTTCTAGTTCGTTTGGTTATACCGATATACGTACGAAACTTACTTCTCACATTCTGGCGTCGCGATTGGAAGGATTCATTATGCCTGCCGAAATGAAACCATTAGATGTTAATTCAACTGCGCGTGACGCAGAGGATTGTTTGGAACGGTTCGACATATGGTGCCTCACAAAATCCGATATGGATGATAAAAAACTGACCGCATATCTCCTACATTTCGTTGGCAAGGGGGCGTATATGTTGATCAAAAATTTAGTATATCCTGAATCTCCAATCGATATTTCCTACACTGCATTGAAGAAAAAGTTCTTCAACACTTCAAACCGATTAACTTCGTAGCAGCCGAAAGAGCTAGGTTCAGTACGTTGACCCGCTCCCGTTCTCAGTCGGTTCGTGATTTCGTATTGCGGCTGCAGACACAGGCAGCCAAATGTGACTACGGTGCCCATTTGGAGGACCAGCTGCATGATAGACTCATTGCTGGCATTCAGCTGCCCGAAGTACAGCCGAAGCTGCTACTCTGTCCGGATCAAAAATTCCAAACTATTCGGAAAATATGTGAGCAGCATGAAGATGTGAAGCAAGTGACGAAGACTGAGGAAGCAGGCTTGTTAAATTATTCTAAAAGAAATAATCCAAGAATGCAGACGAACAACAAGTTCAAACCTCGAACAGATTCTTGTGCCCTAAATCCATCAACACGTCACATCACAGATCCTAACCCTAATCCGATGGCTCAAAAATTTGGGAAATGTGAGTCTTGTGGACGAAACTATTCCAGATATTCATGCCCCCACGGACGAGCGAAGTGTTTTATCTGCGGTAAAACAGGACACATTCAACTTTTCTGTAAGTCCAAGAAAGTGTGTCACTTAACTTC